CTGGCCCACTTGTGTATTTCATTTTATTTATTTATTTTTTGAGACAGAGTCTCACTATGTCACCCTCAGTAGAGTGCCATAACATCATAGCTCACAGCAACCTCAAACTCTTGGGCTTAAGTGATTCTTTTGCCTCAGTCTCCCAAGTAGCTGGGACTACAAGCATCCGCCACAACACCTGGCTATTTTGTTGTTGTTCAGCAGGCCTGGGCTGGGTTTGAACCCACCAGCCTTAACCACCGAGCTATGGGCACTAGCCCCATTTGTGTATTTTAAAACCTACTTTTGACATACCAATTTAAGTACTCAATGAACATTTTTGAGTGTGTCCTATCTGCCACTTTATTAGGTTCCTTAAAAGAGGATGCTTTCTTCTGTTTCTTGTGTTTATCCCTTAATGCAGGGAAAGACACACAAAAGAGGCTGCTCAGTCAGTGGCAAAAATGGCTCCCTGGAAAGAATGTGCTCACCTCCTTGTCAAGACAAGGATGAGCTGCAGAACTCACCTGGGGACTACTGTCAGGATTGTATAGGTCTCCAGGCTTCTGACCTCGCTGGTCCATGCTGTAATATTTACAGTGACTCCACTGGACCATGGATGGGTTCGGGGGGGGCTGGGGTCCGTTAGGAACATTTAGTTGCATGACCACCACACCTGGTCCAGATGGTGACACTCCTGAGGGCCAGGAAGAAAGCAGTTGATTGTAAATTCAAACTCTTTTGGCCATCTAGCTAGCCCTGAGTGGGAAAGCCAGGAACTACTTGCTTCAGGGTCACTCAAACTGCATCCTGCCACGAATCTGAGATGGTTGCTGATTTGACTACTTTCAACTCCCTCTCCTCCAAATGAGTGGAAATCTGAGTGAAAGGGAAATGAGTACTAGTGCTCTCCTGGGCATCACCTGGTGAGGGGTATCATAGTATGCTTGGCAGAAAACAACTCCATTCCATCAAAACTGGGTATTAGCAAATGTCCAGGTCAGATTGTTCAAATCTTTGTTCCTGGTTTGGGCCAAGGGCCAGGGCTGTAGACATGTACAGGCTTTTCTGGTAATGGCTGTGGATAAGCCAGACTCAGGCAATACTTCCTGGCCAAGGGTGGGGTGAGTTGGGAAACATTTCAAGCAGAGGGAATGGCATATTCAGAAAATGACAAGGAATTCCAGGTGCTAAGCCACAGGAGCTATCTAAAGGAAGTACTAGGAGATGAGACACATTTAAAAAAAAATTTTTTTTGAGACAGAGTCTCACTCTGTCACCCTTAGTAGAGAGCCCTGGCATCAAGTGATCTTGGGCTCAAGTGATCCTCTTGCTTCAGCCTCCCCAGTAGCTGGGACTACAGGCACCTGCCACAACACCCAGCTATTTTTTTTTGTTGTTGTTGTTTGAGACCGAGCCTCAAGCTATCACCCTGGGTAGAGTGCTGTGGCATCACAGCTCATAGCAACCTCAAACTACTGGGCTTAAGCAACTCTCTTGCCTCAACTCCTAAGTAGCGGAGACTATAGGCATCCGCCACAATGCCCAGCTATTTTTTTTTTTTTTGGTTGTAGTTGTCATTGTTGTTTGGCAGGCCCAGGCTGGATTAGAACCCACTTGAGCTATAGGCACCACCCCTGGTTATTTTTATTTTTTATTTCTTTTGGTTGTTGTTGTTCAGCAGGCTCTAGCTGGGTTTGAACCCACCAGTCTAGGTGCATGTGGCTGGTGCCCTAAGCACTGAGCTATGGGTACCCCATAGCTTTTTTACTAGAGATGGGGTCTTGCTCTTGCTCAAGCTAGTCTTCAACTCCTGAGTTCAAGCCACCCGCCTGGGCCTCCCAGAGTATTAGGATTTCAGGCATGAGCTACCATGCCTGGCCACATTTATTTGTTTATTCAACAAATGTCAAATATCCACTATGTGCCGGTTCCTATGCTGGGCACTGAGCATACAAAAAACAAGCCTGTTCCTGACCTCATAAAATGGATAATCTGTTAGGATGTTAAGCAAACAGTTGGTGTCAGATTTGAAGCACATTCTGGTAAGATGTTTGGCTAGATTTATCTAGTAAGTGTTAGGACTGGGATTTATGTGGTGGAGAGCTAACTCAAGGAGGCTAAATGTAGGATGGCTGAAGAGAGGGATTAACTAGCAGTAAAAAGACCATTTAGAAAGTTTCTGAAACAGAGTAAGGAGGTTTTGAAGTAGGGCAAATGCCACCAGGAATGAGTAGGAAGGTCAAACCCTCTGAAGGTTACACTAACAGGCTCAGGTGATTGTTGGATGTGACCCTAAGGTTTTAGCACTGGCACCCATGATAGCCTCATCCTCTCACAGGTTAGGGAAAGGGCTATACTGAGAAGGATTAAGTCCTAAATCTTCCTCATGGTAAAAAGCATGGTAATGAGTAGGGACGAGCAATTTGATGGACAGTCTCTACTGAGAGGGGCAGGCAGGAGCTATCCTTCCTCACTGGAGAGTGTCCAGAGTGGGGTTAGCACTTGGACTTCCTAGGCTCTATTCCTGTTGAGGCTGAGCTCACATGTTTGTGGTGGTAGAGAAATAGGAGCTGGGGGTTACTAGCTTGAAAACCTGCTGCAGTGCTGCTGTTTTCCTGGCTCGGTGCCCCAAGGCTGCCACTGCTGCTGCCATCACACTGCTTCCTGTGACAGGAAATGTTACAGCCTTTGCCCTGGGCACCAGTCATGCTGGGAAGTAAATGTGATTGTTTTTCTCAAGTAGTATTGGTCAAAGGAATGGAAAAGAATTAGTGGGAGGCCTGAGAGAGCAGCTCAGGAGATATAGCACCTGTCAGATGCTTCTCCCCAGCTGGTATGTGCTCTCTACCCTCTAAGGTTCATCCAATCAGAAAGCAGAAATATTCAGAGCACAGGCTCACCTCTCCCTATCCCCTGCCAAGAGAGATAGCATAGCTGTAGAAGGCCCACAGGAAAATTGCATGGTTGTGGACTGTCATGCATTTAACAACTCTCAGCTTATTGTAGGTATTCTGGGCATTTTATTTCCCTATCCTAAGAGTCTCACCTACTACAATATCCTCTACCAACAAAATTGCAATTGACTTTATTCAAATACCTTGATGCTGCTTAAGGGTCCAACGCAAAAATAATAAAATCTACAGCTTTTCCAGAAGGCAGCTCAACATCTCAGCCTAACTAATGCCATAGGTCAGGAAGGGTGGGTGTGTCTGAGTATGTAGGGTAAGCACAAGCAGAGCAATGGAAGCTCTTTTTAATACCAATGTGTGGCTGTAAAGAGCTATTAGGGGGCTCAAGGAGAAAGAGAACAGAGTCTTCATATTATTTTCAGTATTCTTCGTTTCAGCCTCTATTCTGAGCTCCTCCCCACTGGCCTGAAGCATTGTTGCTTCACTCAGCCAAAGACACAACACTACTCTGCTGAAAAGCTGATTTTTATGCTTCTCTTCCTTAAGCCCAAAGCAGGTGGCATCCCTTAGCAGCAGAACTGTTCTTAATAGACATAGCAATAAAAACAAAAAACAAAAAACAAAAAAACCAAGAAAAAACACTCAACCTGCTGTCCAGTGACAGCACTTTCATATAATCAGGTTGAGGGAAGGAGCCTGGGTGGAAAGAGGGTGGGAAGCAAGTGGGAAGGGAGGGGAAGGGGTTGAATAAGGAAATCAATTTCAGCTTGAAAGCTCTGAAAGGAGAGGGGACATGTGAATGGCTTTTTAAGTGGCATCATTAAACCTGGGCAGAAAGGTCGATTGGTCAGAGCAAACCGCATAAATACAAACAGATGACATTTATGTCTGGCAGAATTGTTTTGTTTTTTTTTTTTTTAAATCACTGAGGTAGAAAACTGATAAGCCTTCTTCCTTAGCACCAGAAATCAAATCTATAGGAAGGAATGTCCAGAGAAATAAACTCCACAGGCATCTTTCCCAAATTATAGGGCAGAATCCAATAATATCTTAGTCTTTTCCCTTTTTTTGGTGGGGAAGTGAGGTATCTCAGGAAGTCAGAAAGAAAATAGTAACCTGAGCTTCGGAAACCCCTTGGCTAAAAAATGACTAAGTAATGAGAGGCTATTTCTACATGCATTTTCCTCTGTCCACAATGCTGTGTCACTGTGAGCTGGGCATTATGCACAGGCATCACAGCCACTTCATGTCTGTGTGCATTGTCTCCTGACAAGCATCTCTTTAGAAAACTCAAGGGGCTTGCAAGCCATCATTTTAGTGGGAAGAAAAGTGTCTCCTGGGTTAGAGCTATGTCTATATTACAGTGGAAGAATTAGGGTACAGGCCTGGGGGTAAACTGGGCAAGTACAAAAATGTATTAATAAACCACAACAGTTGTTCCAGGACCAGCCAATCCTAATCCCTGCCTTTATTTTTGGAAAAGTGACCATGTTGCACATGAGAAGAGGGCGGGTGACTGTCCTCTGAAGGTGATAGAGGGGCCCTTATGGCCTGGGCTTGCCTTTTTCCAGTAAAGGTTGAACTGGAAAGGAAGGGAGAACAAACACTTGTTTCCCCTTTTCCCCACCCTCTTAGATTACCATGAGCAGAATTAAAAACCTTTAAAGTCAATGGTATGGTAAATATGCTCTCTGAGATGATGTGAATGGAACAGAGGATCCCATTATCTAGAACAGGGGTCCTCAAACTTTTTAAACAAGGGGCCAGTTCACTGTCCCTCAGACCATTGGCGGGCCGGACTGTGGGCCCTGGGGCGAGTCGGCTGCTAAGCAGGACAGGTAGCAGTGGCAAAAACACCCAGCAGGCCGGATAAATTCCTCGGTGGGCCATAGTTTGAGGATGCCTGATCTAGAAGAAGTACAAGGGGTCAGTTGAAGCCCAGGGTTAACTGGGGTTGCTAGGAATAAAGGAAATAGAACTATGAAAATTCTAAAGCAGCAAGAGAAATAGATGGTGAAGAAAGTCTCCCATGTCTTTTGACTTCGGAAGCCTAGGTTATTTCCTTCCAACCCTAGTCCTGATCGTTAGTGCTGACAACTTCTAAAGTAACAGTTTTGTTTTAGTTTTCTTAACTTAGTACTAGGTCCAGAGTACGTGATGAAAAATAATTTTTTACACGTGGTTTGTTCTCAATTCAAAGATCTTGTACTAGAAGATGGACAGCTATAACCACAGAGACCAAGAGATGTTCTGACATCCTACAAAGGATATACACAAAACACATATGCATGTCTGCCTATAAACACACGCACACACTCATTTTAATAACAGGAGAGAAAGTGCCCTGTGGTAACATGCACCACCACAGGCTACACTGATTCTTGGAGCTGGTTTCTACAATTTCCATACCCCACTTGGAATTTTCCTTTTTGAGACAGTTTTACTTTGTTGCCCTTGGTAGAGTGTCACGGAGTCACAACTCACAGCAACCTCAAACTCTTGGGCTCAAGTGTTTCTCTTGCCTCAGCCTCCCAAGTAGCTGGGACTACAGGCACCCGCCACAATACCTGGCTATTTTTAGAGATGAGGTCTTGCTCTTGTACAGGCTGGTCTTGAACCTGTGAGCTCAGGCAACCCACCTGCCTCCGCCTCCCAGAGTGCTTAGGATTACAGGCGTCAGCCACTGCACCTGGCCTACCTCACTGGGAATTTCAAGGCCAAGTGTCCATGGCAGACACTAGCAGAAGCAGCTAGAGACATGAATAACAAAAAAGGGTGAGATGTTGAATTGAAAACTTCAGCCTATAAGAGATTTATGTTTGGCCTGGATGAGGGTCGAAGTCATTGCTTCTTAAAGGTAAGAACATATCACATCTAACAAATAAGACTAATTCCAGAATCAGCATCTAACACAGTGAGCATGCCAAAAAAAAAAAAAAATTCTTTTAGCATTTTTAAATGGGGAAAATTGGCAAAACATTTCCCTCACACCAGAAGAGGGCACTCTGACATTCCTACAGAATAGAATGGGGATGGTTAAAGGCTAAAAATTAAGACTTTGCCCTCTCCAGACCCCCTGAAGGTTTTAACTGCAATGTACTGCCATGTCAGGGTAGGCTGAAAGGTATACAAACAGGGATAGCTGTGACTTGGTGTGTAGGGGAAGCTCTTGGCAAAGGCAGTGAGAGGCTGCATGGCACAAACTTACTGACCTGGAATAGCTGGCCCCTCCAAAGAGGGCCTTTAGCTATTTAATATGATGTCCATTTATTTTTCACTGGACAGAAAAAGGATAGAGTACAAAGCCTGCTGAAAACTGTTGAAGATGCAGCATGGGACATGGAAAAAGACACTGCTGAGTGCAGTGGCTCACACCTATAATCTTAGCACTCTGGGAAGCTAAGGTGAGTGGACCACTTGAGCTCAGGAGTTGGAGATCAGGCTGAAGCAAGAGTGAGATCCTGTCTCTACTACAAATAGAAAAACTAGCCAAGTGTCATGGCAGGTCCCTGTAGTCCCAGCTATTCAGAAGCTGAGGCAAGAGGATCCCCTGAGTTCAAGAGTTTGCGGTTGCTCTGAGCTGTAATGATGCCATGTCACTCAACCCAGGGCAACAGTGAGACTCTGTCTCAAAAAAAAAAAAAAAAAGACTCAAATTCAATTTCTAGGACTGTGATCTTAGGCAATTATTTAATCTCTTTAAATCAAATTTCTACCTCACAAAGTCATGATGAGAATTAAAATGTTATAAGGTACAAGTGTATGCTACAAACTGCTAAACAAATCTAAGATATGACTTAAAAAGCATTTAGTCAACTTCCCCCATACTCCCAAGAGAAAAGAAAAGCCGCCTATGGGAAAAGTGAGTACAGGAGACACAGTACAATGCTGGATTCTGAAAAGAAAAAAAAGAAGACAACAATAAAAACTGGACAAGAGACATGAATAGAACCTTTCCTCATAAGGACAGAAGAATGGCCAATAAACACACGAAAAAATGCTCATCATCCCTAACAATCAGCGAAATGCAAATCAAAACACTTTCAGGTCACTGAGAACAACCCACACCACAAGGTCCCAAAGCAATAGTTGCTAGCTTGAGTGCAGAGAGAACACTCACGTACTGTTGAGGGACTATAAACTTTTTTTTTTTTTTTTTTTGAGACAGAGTCTCACTATGTCTCCCTCAGTAGAGTGCTATGGCATCACAGCTCACAGCAACCTCAAACTCTTGGGCTTATGCCATTATCTTACCTCAGCCTCCCAAGTAGCTGGGACTACAGGTGCCTGCCACAGTGCCTGGCTATTTTTTTGTTGCAGTTGTCATTGTTGTTTAGGTATACAAACAGGGATAGCTGTTTAGGTGGCCTGGGCTGGGTTCAAACCTGCCAGCCTCGGTGTATGTGGCCGGTGCCATAACCACTGTGCTATGGGCACCACGCCAGGGATTGCAACCTATTAATAGTACAGCCTCTATGGAAAGCAGTATGGAGATTCCTCAAAGAACTAAAAGTAGACCTACTGTTTGGCCCTGCAATTACCCTTTTAAGCATTTACCCAAACAACAACAAAAAAAGACATTTTACCACAGGGACATTTGGCCTAGAATGTTCATAGCAGCTATGTTCATAATTGCAAGTATGTGGAAACAACTGAAGTGCCCATCAACAAATGAAAGGATTAACAAACTGTGGTATATGTATACCATGAAATACTATTCAGTCATAACAAAGATGGAAATTTTGCATCTTTTTTTTTTTTTTTTTGAGACAGAGCCTCAAGCCGTCCCCCTGGGTAGAGTGCTGTGGCATCACAGCTCACAGCAACCTCTAACTCCTGGGCTTAAGCGAGTCTCCTGCCTCAGCCTCCCAAGTAGCTGGGACCACAGGCACCTGCCACAACGCCTTTTATTATTTTTTTTGGTTGCAGCCGTCATTGTTGTTTGGCGGGCTGGGCTGGATTCAAACCTGCCACCTTAGGTGTATGTGGCTGGCGCCTTAGCCACTTGAGCCACAGGTGCTGAGCCAAGATTTTTGCATCCTTTTAAACAACCTGGCTGGATTTGGAGAATATTCTCCTAAGTATCTCACGATTAGAAAAATAAGAATCACATGCACTCAATACCAATTTGAAATTAGGACATTAACAATTACAGACCCACATGAGAGAAAAATTTCAATTAAATTTGAGGAGGAGGAGGGACTCTGGGGCTCACTGGCTTCCCTCCCAGTGAGAACAATACATGGATACTGGGAACACCCTGGCTGTAGGACACAGCTCAACTCTGACTTTAACCAGTCATGTGTAAATTATACAGTGTAATAATTTGTGACCTCATATTAATCTGAAATAAAAAAGAATGAAGAAAAAAAGACAACAGGAAAGCAAGGAACTGAATTAGATGTGGCTACCCAGGGATGAGGAAACCAACCCCTATGTGTTGAGAAGTCAACCTCTGTACTCATAAAAACACCAGCCAAGACTTTGGTCTTTCTTCACTATGGAGTCACAGTAAAGAGGCCTGCATTCTTTCTGCCTTTCCCAGCTCTGGAGCACAAGCCTTTCAGCCATGTTTGCTCTTGCCAGTGCCCAAGAACGCCCCCCCCCCAATTCTTTATCCTCTTACCTGAGTACTGCTGTGGCATCTGTGGTGGACTGCAAGGAGAGGGAGACTGAGGCATCTGGTACTGCTCAGAGCCAGGAGGTTGCAGAAAACCCACAGAAGGGCTGGGGAGATGGAGAAGAGAGGAGTGGTGAACCAGTAGAGGGAGGAACACAACTCCTGGCAAACAGCTGCTGCTTCCTAGGCCTCCCCTGTGGGAAGCAGAGGCAGCTCCAAGCCATTCCCAGACCAATTTGCCATGCAATTTCTAAAATCACTCATCAGTTCAAAGTTAATTACATATATTTGTACTTGATCATCTTTCAATTAGGAAGCTGCTAATCAGTGCTACAGATGGAATGTTAGCAACACATGCTCTTCCCAACACTGTGGAAATATCATATAGATAGGTGCACATGCACACACAGATTCTGAGAAACACAAAGAGAGTGCCAGAGACAGACACACAATGCTGGACAGAGATGGAGGGGAAAAATTCTCAGATTGCTAATTATTTTTTCCTAAAAATAGCTCAATGGTTAGAGGGCCAGCCCCATGCACTGGGGATGGCGGGTTGGAATCTGGTCAGGGCCTGCTAAACAAAAACAAACAAACAAAACACTAAGAAGATACATGATTTGAGATATATACACACAATGGCAAACAACCACCTAAAGACAAATAGGAAAAAATCCCCCACAAAACACAGAACAACATGAAGACACGTATAAAAAGACAGAGATAAATATACACACGTAGGGAGACAGACACACAAAAATACACACAGTGAGCCCAGAACTGATTCTAGTTCCAGCTCTGCTTCTAGCTATGTGAAACTGAGTAAGTTTCTTAACATCCTTAGCTAGAATTTCCTCATTTATATATAAGGGAGGAAAATAACAAGAGGAATAGACCAGATTATTTCTAAGGTGCTTTCTACTTCTAAAATTCTACTAGCTACAACCTACCTACACTCAAATATATAGAAATAGACACACCTATGGGTTTTCATTTCCAGATACAAACGGAAGTACACAGGAAAATTTATATATATACACACTCCAAAACAATGAGTTGTTTTCTATTCCATAGTTTTCAGTCCCACTCCTTTGAAAAATGAAAAATGGGGGAAAATTACAAATTATAAATCTTTTTTTTTTTTTTGAGACAGTCTCACTCTGTCATCCTTGGTAGAGTGCTGTGGCATTACAACTCACAAAAACCTCAAACTCTTGGGCTCAAGTGATTATCCTGCCTCTGCTTCCCAAGTAGCTAGGACTATAGGTGCCAACACAACACCCAGCTATTTTTGTTGTTGTTGTTGCAGTTGTCATTGTTGGTTAGCTATCCCCGGCTGGTTTTGAACCCGCCAACTTTGGTGTATGTGGTTGAAACTGTAACCACTGTGCTACAAGTGCTGAGCCTTTTTTTTTGAGACAGAGTCTCACTTTGTTGCCCTTGGTAGAGTGCCATGGCATCATAGCTTACAGCAACCTCAAACTCTTGGGTTCAAGCGATCTTCTTGCCTCAGCCTCCCAAGTGGGGACTACAGGTGCCTTCCACAAAACCCAGTTATTTTTAGAGACAAAGTCTCGCTCTGGCTCAGGCTGGTCTTAAACTCCGGAGTTCAGGCAATCCACCTGCCTTGGCCTCCCAGAGTGCTAGAATTATTGAGGTGAGCCACTGCGCCCAGCCTAAATTATAAATCTTTGAAGCAGGAATTGTTTTCTGCTAATTGGCTCTTATGTGGATGGCAAATCAAGGAGGAGAAAAGGAGAACGAACTCCCTCATATTCACCTACATCAGGGCACTACTAAAACCTGCCAACAGGGTGGTGCCTGTGGCTCAGGGGAGTAGGGTACCAGCCCCATATACCAGAAGTGGCAGGTTCACACCTGGCCACAGCCGAAAACTGCAAAAAAACCCGCTGCCAACTTTGGTGTATGTGCCTGGCACCGTAACCACTGTGCTACCAGCACCGAGCCTTTTTTTTTTAGAGACAGATTTTTAGTTTGTCATCCTTGGTAGAGTGCTGTAGCATCACAGCTCACAGCAACCTCCAGCTCTTGGGCTTAGGCGATTTTCTCGCCTCAGCCTCCCGAGTAGCTGTGACTACAAGTACCTGTCACAATGCCTGGCTATTTTTTGTTGCAGTTTGGCCAGGGCCAGGTTCAAAGCTTCCACCCTTGGTATATGGGCCTGGTGCATAGGCGCTGCCCCACTACTACAATCTTTCCCCTGCCTTTCTTTTAGGCCAGCAGAAACAAAACCATGGTGCCACAATTGCTGAAGGTCTATAGGAGATGCTCTGCTCTTTGGAAGTTCTCACCTTGTACCATTCTGCTGAGCTGGGGGGATCACGCTGTAGTACACTGGTACACCCCCTGCTGGGAGGCCTCCTTGCACAGACTGGCTTGCAGGGACCAACATGGGTTGCTGGAAAGGTGGCTGAACCACATTTTGTGAGTCATTACCCACTGGAACCTGGGAGGAAAAGAGAAGAAAAGGACTACTCATGCTCCCATTGAGATCCAGACAACAGCCTAGGTATTACTAGACAGGGGCATTATGACTTCCTTCCCTACCTTTTAAAACCTCTTGTTCTCCCCATCTGCCTAAAGAAAATTTAGGCATTTCTCCCTTTTCCAAATACCATCTTTGGGCATCTAACACAAAGGAAGGAGCCTGATTTCCTTTAGAGGTTATTTTCCTGGGCATATGCTCATTTGTATGGCTGTATAAAGACCAAACAATTTAAAGACTCTTTTTAGACTCTATAGACTTTTCTCTCAGAGAGAAAAAACCTAACAATTCTAGGGGAAAGTAGACAATACTCCAGTATTGGAGTTGTCAGTCTGAATGATCCCCAAAGGCTGTCCTTTTCCTCATCCTAGGACAGGTGACTTTTCCCAATGCAGAAGCACCCACTTGGTAAGAAGGCAGTGGAGTGTACTGAACCACCAGGCCTTGCATCTGGCCCCCCATGCTGCTCCTTTGGTTGCTGAGCAGGCCCTGGTTCTGAGGCTGCTGGACCCCAATCATGCCTTGGTAAGCCGCCTGCTGCTGGTTAGGCATCATGGGCTGTAAACCTAAGGGTGGGCAAGTCAGAGAAGACATTAGCATGAATGTTTAGGAGGTCACACTCTTATCAATAATTTCCTTTTCCATTCTATTAATATTTTACTTTTTTTTTTTCCATGGAGATCTAAGTCTCTTCTTAGGCCCCTAATCATTCCTGCCCTTCCCCCTCCCATACACTTTTAAATGGGGAAGATAATTCTTCTCTCTTTCTCAGTCTGCCCTTCCCCTATTCATTGCCTTCTTACACCAGCAGTTCCTCTTACCAGGCTGCTGGGATGGCTGAGGCAGCTGTTGACCACGTTGGGGGCTGTAGGCCACCGGGTGAGAAAGAGGTCGATATTGCTGGTTGGAGTTAGGATACTGTCCAGGAGGATAATAGGAAACCTGGATCTATGGTGGGAGGAAAAAGATGTGTGAGACGTCCCTCAAATTCAGCCCTACTACTGGCCAATTACTAAATACCTCAAGCTTGATGGCCAAAAATATGTAAATGGAGATATTCTGGACCTGCAATTATGGGATTAGTATAGAAGTTTGAAATAAAACAGAAGGGCTTGTGTTATATAGATAGAAGACCTGGCTAGAACAACTCTCAAGTGCAAAGTAGGGAAAGGTATCTCTTCTGGTCTCTCTAACCTAGAAGAAGAAAGAGGGGTATAATACCAGATAAGCTGAATCAGTGATGTAAGCTTGAAACTGGAGCTGCTTACCTGTTGAGGGGGCTGCATGTAGCCCTGGGGTGGCAGAACTTGCTGAGTAGGTGGTGCATGGTTAGAGGTGGAATAGCTGGAAGTGGGGAGGGGCTGTCCCGCGGAAGCCATGATGAAGCTGGTCTGCTGAGGGTGCTGGGAGATAAGTGGAGGCTGGAACATAGCTGAGGATGGGTCTGCTGCTTCAGTAGAGCCTTGGCGGCTAAGACTCATTTGTCCAAAGGGATTGCTGAGGTCATCTGCCTATGGAAAGAGTAGGGGACTCAAGGACTGGGGCTTGTATCAAGCTCACATCTTTGGCTTCAAAGAAAGACATGGAGAAATACCAATTCTGTCTACAGATCTGGGTAGGCCTGCCTCTGTGCCCATAGAGGTGGTTTTTGGACCTAAGCCTGTCATGTGGCATTTGAAATTGTTATGGGCTTGGCACCCATAGCACAGTGGTTACGGTGCCAGCCACATACACCAAGGCTGGCAGGTTCAAACCCAGCCTGGGCCAGCTAAACAACAATGACAACTGTAACAAAAAATAGCTGGGCGTGGGCGGCGCCTATGGCTCAGTGGGTAGGGCACCAGGCCCATATATGGAGGGTGGCAGGTTCGAGCCCAGCCCTGGCCAAACTGCAACAACAACAACAAAATAGCTGGGCATTGTGGCGGGTGCCTATAGTCCCAGCTACTCAGGAGGCTAAGGCAAGATAATCACTCAAGCCCAAGAGTTGGAGGTTGCTGCGAGCTGTAATACCACGGCACTCTACTGAGGGTGACACAGTGAGACTCTGTCTCAAAAAAAAAGAAAAAAAAAAAGAAATTGCTATGAATTGAATAGCTGTTTCAAGCCCAGCTCCAGAGCCACTCTCCCTACCACATGTGAGGGAACAATGGCCGCCCTAATTAGCATCATTATTAGGATTGCTCTTGGGGAGATGGGAGCAATGATACAATTTCCATATAGAGAAAGAATAGGACAAACTAGGGGGTTAAAGAAAATGATTATGAGTCTTTCCATTTTTTTTTTTTTTTTTGAGACAGAGTCTTACTTTGTCACCTTTGCTAGAGTGCCATGGCATCATAGCTCACAGCAACCTTAAACTCCTGGGCTCAAGTGATTTTCTTGCCTCAGCCTCCTGAGTAGCTGAGATTATAGGCACCTGCCACAACATCCAGTTATTTTTAGAGATGGGAGTCTGGCTCTTGCTCAGGCTGGTCTCGAACTCCTGAGCTGTGGCAATCTACCAGGCTTGGCCTCCCAGAGTGCTAAGATTATAGGTGTGAGCCACCATGCCTGGCTGAGTCTTTCCATTTCCTTTCTTCCTCATACCCACAACCACAAAAAGGGCCCCTACACTGCCATGACTTCTGTTTTTATAATAAAGGACCTAGATAACACCTTAAGCAGACCACGGTGGCTAGGTTCATAAGCCTCCACAGTGCTGCCTGTGTAGCAGGAAGACTGGGGGGCTCCCATTCCCACTGCTCATCTCCTTACTCCCTCTCCATGTCATTTCCACCTTTGTTCTCTGACACTAGCCTAGTGTTCTCCCACCCTTCAGAAACCACTTCCAATTCTCACCTCCGAAAGGAGGCCAGGGTGAGTGGCTAAGCTGGAGGATAAGACTGACTGGCTAGGCTGTAATTACCTTTTTTTCTCAGTTCTCTTCCCTAAGCAACAAAGGTGATGGTGTTCCATCTCTCACTTACATGCTGATAGGTTAGAGTTTGTTAGTTTCCTTTTGCCTTCTACTCCCTGGATAGTAATTCTCATTCTCTCTCTCTCCCCGCTACCCCCACCTACATACACACCAGAGCAGGAGTTCCTTTGCAAAAGAAACTAGTAGAAACCAAAAGATAATGCTTTTCTATAGTTTCATTCAATTTTCAGGGATCTGATCTTCAAGTTAGATGTTTTGCTACCTTATTGGGCACAAGTAGATGATAAGCAGACTGGATTAGAGATTCACTGAGGCCCATATTTCAGGAATTTTCAGAATGGAGATAAGAGGTAAGAGGAAAGAGGAGATTTTAGGGAAAAAGCTAGAGGTTTTATTAACACAAAGCAAAAACTCAGTGCTCCTAAAACCATGATGGAAGTTATCAACTATAAGGCAAATCAGATCTTCAGAGGATTTGTAGTAATAGTACAAACAATTTGAACAGCATGTGCTATGCAGTGGGAGAGGGTATTTTTATATATTATAAAATGACATGGTATGGGCAGTGCCTGTGGCTCAGTGAGTAGGACACCAGCCCCATATACTGAGGGTGGCAGGTTCGAACCCACCCTGACCAAACTGCGACAAAAACATAGTCGGCGTTGTGGCGGGCACCTGTTGTCCCAGTTACTCGGGAGGCTGAGGCAAGAGAATCGCCTAAGCCCAAGAGCTGGAGGTTAATGTGAGCTGTGACACCATGGCACTTTACCAAGGGCAATACAGTGATACTCTGTCTCTAAAAATAAAATAAAATAAAAATGACATGGTAAAATAGAGGAATAGCTCAAGTTTTTAGCAATGGTACCAGAGAATGTTTTTATTTTTAATGTAAATTATAGAGAACCATTCTGTACAGAATACACTGGGTTCCTCAGACATATCTAGAGACAAATTAAGTGAAGGATATACCTGGTAGAGCAATGAGGAGCCTAAGTTATATCAATACCAATTTCACTATCCCTCCTGAAACTTGGGAGGGGACTCAGCATTCCTCTGTCTTATATTAAGGCATCTTTTAATGTGCTGTGACCAGACTGTTAGACTGGTGTATAATTCGGCCTGTGCTGGACCCTTTAAAGGAATGGTTCCCAGCTCTTCAAAATCACAGCCTGCTTACAAGGCTCTCACAGACTGACCCAGTCATACCACAGATACAGGCCACATACAAACAAGACAAAAAGGGGAATGGAGTTTGTACCATGTTGTACTGCTGGGGCGGAGAGACTGGCAGAAGGACTTGGGGACAGGAGCTTGGAGAGAACTGAACAGGCTGCGAAGAGGGCTGCAGAGACGGGACTGGCTGTGGACCAGCAGAGAGGCATGTGGAAAAGGGAAGAGAAAAAGAGGCAAAGGAAGAGGCAGGAGGGTAGAGATGGGGAGGGGAAGGGAAGGAACAACAAGGTTAATAATCATAAGAAAACTTCATATGAGTAACAAGGCTGCTGAGCATGCCTGCTTGTACACTTCACATCTCTCTGAAGAGATTCACTGCACTCTATGCCCCACTGGCCACTCAGAACTCAGAAGCTATTGTGAGCAATCTGAGGACTCCCGGAGCCAGGGTCTGCTGCCTGATCCCAAACATAGTTTTTCCCAATGCATTTTTTCTAAACACACAAATTGGGGAGCATAATCATAATCCTCCTTGAATGCCACTTGAGAAGGGACTCCTGTCTGCACTGCTGCGCTGCTTCTGTAGGAAGGGTCATCCAAGGTCTGGCTCAGCCACACTCTGATTTCACACCACAGCTCTCCTGGAGGAGGAGAGGAAGTGCTCATTCACAAGGATTGTTTCCCTTTCAAGGGTAGAGAAAGAAAAAACAAACAAGATCATGCTTCTGGCTACTTCCTTTTTTTTTTCCAGATAGTCTCACTTTGTCACCCTTTGTAGAGTGCTGTGCTGTGGTGTCATAACTCAAAGCAACTTCCAACTCTTAGGCCCAAGCGATTCTCTTGCCTCAGCCCCCTGAGTAGCTGGGACTACAGGCTCCTGCCACAATGCCTGGCTATTTTTTTTTTAGAGACAAGGTTTCACTTTTGCTCAGGTTGGTCTCGAACTGTGAGCTCAGGGCAATCCACCTGCCTCAGCCTCCCAGAGGCTGGCTGGCTACTTCCTTCTGTCCCATGATTGTTTTGTGTCCTCCAGGCTATGAGGGAAGTATGAAAAATCCCCTTCAAAGCAAACAGGAAAGATTTGGGAATAAAATATAAATAGCCTAGCTTTGGTATTTATCCCATTAGTCCCTTCACTAGCCTCAAGCAGGAGGATTTGTTTATTAGGAACATGGAGAGTTCTAAACCAACCAATGTAATGGTCAGTTATATATTTTTTCTCTCCGTTCTTTCCCTCTGGCCATTTCAATCACCTCATCAGTCATAGACCCTGGAGGTGGGAGGGATGGGAAAAGGAAAGAGGAGAGGAAGAAGATGGAAGTAGTATTTATATTTTTGTCTTAATATATAGTCTCATTGCAGACTCACATTAAGAATCCTTAGGTATGGCTCGGCGCCTGTGGCTCAAGTGGCTAAGGCACCAGCCACATACACCTGAGGTGGTGGGTTCGAATCCAGCCCGGACCCACCAAACAACAATAATGGCTGCAACCAAAAAATAGCCGGGCGTTGTGGTGGGTGCCTGTGGTCCCAGCTACTTGGGAGGCTGAGGCAGGAGACTCGCTTGAGCCCAGGAGTTGGAGTTTGCTGTGAGCAGTGAAGCCACAGCACTCTACCCAGGGGTTCAGCTTGAGGCTCTGTCTCAAAAAAAAAAAAAAAAAAAAGAATCCTTAGGTATAACAGCCATTCTCACTAGTATTAGGTGATACCTCAGTGTGGTTTTGATTTACATTTTCCTGATAATTAGAGATGTTAGGCATTTTTTCATATATTTATTGGTCAATAGTCTAACTTCTTTTGAAAAGCTTCCATTCATGTCTTTTGCCCATTTTTTTATGGGGCAGTTTGATTTTTTTTTCTTGCTGACATTTACAAAATATTCTCTATATTTTGGCTACTTCCTTATAAAATTTTGTAATAAGCATATGGCAAATAAAGATACATTTAGGGCGGCAACTATGGCTCAAAGGAGTAGGGCACTGGCCTCACAAGCCAGAGGTGGCAGGTTCAAACCCAGCCCCGGCCAAAAACTGCAAAAAAAAAAAAAAAAAAAAAGGTACATTTAGCTACAATTTCCCATTTCCCTACATATGGTGACTTTTGGGACACTCTGCAGTGCTGTTTAGAGAACTATGAAAAGAAATTTTTTTCAAAGGAAATCTCTTTAAATTCTTACCAAGTTTTCATCTACAGCTTTTAGATTTTCTATTTTTAATTTTTTTAGCCAGAATTATGGTTGGCACCTGGAGTCCCAGCTACTTGGGAAACTGAGGCAAGAGAATTGCTTAAGCCCAAAAGTTTAGTGAGCTGTGATGCCACAGCACTCTACCGAGGATGACATAAGACTCTGTCTCAAAAAAAGAAAAAAAAGAGGGAGGAAAAAAAATTTTTGATTTTTAAATTTTTTTTGAGACAGAGTTTCACTATGTTGCCATGAGTAGAATGTCATGGTATCATAGCTCACAGCAACTTCAAACTCAGGCTCATGAAATCCTCTTACCTCAGCCTCCTGAGTAGCTAGGACTACAGGAGCCCACCACAACACCCTGCTGTGTTTTAGTAGAGACAGGGTCTTGCTCTAGCTCAGGCATGGCTGAGTTAAAGCAATCCACCTGCCTCAGCCTCCCAGATTGCTGGAATTAAAGGCATGAGCCACCACACCCAGAACACACTCATGAATTTTTTTTTTTTTTGTAGAGACTAGAGTCTTACTTTATCGGCCTTGGTGGAGTGCCATGGCATCACACAGCTCACAGCAACCTCCAACTCCTGGGCTTAGGCAATTCTCTTGCCTCAGCCTCCCAAGCAGCCAGGACCACAGGTACCAGCCACAACGCCTGGCTATTTTTTTTGTTGCAGTTTGGCTGGGACTGGGCCTGAACCTGCAACCCTCGGTATATGGGGCCGGTGCCCTACCCACTAAGCCACAGGCACTGCCCCACTTTTGAGTTTTGTTTGTTATTTATTTTGAGACAGAGTCTCACTATGTTGCCCTCGGTAGAGTGCCATGGCATCACAGCTCACAGCAACCTCTAACTCTTGGGCTTAAGTGATTCTCTGTCTCTCTCTCTCTCTTTTTTTTTTTTTTTTTGAGATATAGTTAGTTTATTTTCTTTTTCTTAAAAAAGAAAATAGTTATTTTATTTTTCTTTCTCTTGCCTCAGCCTCCCAAGTAGCTGGGACTACAGACGCCCACCAAAACACCTGGCTATTTTTTGTTGCAGTTGTCATTGTTGTTTAGCAGGCCCGGGCTGGGTTTGAACATCCCAGCCTCAGTGTATGTGGCTGGCACCGTAACCACTGTGCTAAGGGCACTGAGACCACTTGTGAGTCTTGAATAAAAAGCAGAGTGGAAATAAGTGATGCTCCTCTCTTAGGCCTCCCCTAACTGGGGAAAGACAGTGGTATAAGGAAGGGGCCTCAGAGATATTTTTTAGCTACTCCACAGTTACTCTCAGCTATAGTTCTCTTCTTTAAAAGTTTGAAATTCCAGAGCCAGAGAACTTCTGAAAAATAATAAAAAAATTTATTTAGAAAAGAAAGACAAGACTGGCCCTGAGGGATGGGGCTGCCACCTACTGGTGGATTTGGTGCAAGATCACTGGCTCAAGGATACCTGAGGACCACAGGACAGAGGCTCAGAGGGCTCCTTTTCAAGAGATCCACTGTCTTAAGTAATTTGGGCAAAAGGAACTCACTGGTCCTTTAAACCTCAGCCTCACCCCTTGGTTTCATGTGCTTCATTGACCTATAACATGAGGGCCTGCTCTGACAGAGGAACCCTGCCAAGAAGGGAAAGAGCATTATTTAGCCAGTACCATTCCTAAGCCTGGGGCAAATACTTCTTGCTACAGAGCTAAAGGTACCTACCTTTTCTCAAAAATTTTCTAAAGGAAACACTTAAGTAAGCACAGTGGTGTGTGTGCATCGCCATCATGTCCTAATCCCTGCACTATCAGGTGCCATTTCAGAAACTGAACACTAATTATTCTTGGGCTTGGCAACTTCAGTTTGGAGAATCCCCAGCACTGGAGAGCCAGTCAGGGAAAAAGAAAAGAAAAAGGAGAAAATGGCAGTAGGAGGAAGAAGAGGAAGAGAAAAAGTAGAGAAGAAGAAAAAAAGGAGCCAGGCATGCTAGCTCATGCCTGTACTAGCACTCTGGGAGGACAAGGCAGGTGGAATGCCTAAGCTCACAGGTCTGAGATCAGCTTAAGGAAAAAGGAGACCCCTGTCTCTAAAAATAGCCAAGCATTATGGCAGGAACATGTAGTCTCAGCTGCTTGGGAAACTGACGCAACAAATTGCTTGAGCCTAAGAGTTTGAAGTTGCTGTGAGCTATAACACTTCAGCACTCTACAGAGGGGGACAAAGTGAGACTCTGTCTCAAAAAAAAAAAAAAGAATAGAAAAGAAAAAGAGGAGATATATACAGTGGGGTGGTAGTGTAATTTTAGCAGCTTCCAAAACGCTTCTGGGACACTGAAACTTACCTGGATAAGATTCTTCAGTGTGGAGTTAGTGATGACAAGTAATCTCAAGAATGACTCTCTAAGGGATCAAACAATACTGCCTTATCCCCAAGCCATAGCCCCTATCGTAGTGACACACTCAGGATACAAGTAATACCAACTGATCAATCCAGTAGCAGGAACAAAAAGTGAGTAGAAGTTGGGGCTTAGGGCCCATTATTTGGACATTCTGTCTGAAGTTTTATTCCCAAGTTATTCTCTTATCTCTTTATTCTCCACCCACTCTTGCTGTCTGTTTCTAGGTGTGGATGGCAAGTGGAAGTTAGAGGCGAATGGAAGACTAAGAAGAAAAGAGAGCAAAACTATTAAAATATACACGTTTTAGGAAAAAAAAAACTAGACAATATTGGGACCTTGGGAAAGTGAATCACACACATACAAAAACACAGTAGGAGACAGCCAGAAGGAGAGAAGCACAGAGTTTATCTTACAGGTTTAAATTAAGACAAGAAGAGAAAAGCATACGCATATACCATGCTTTGGTAGGGAGTCAGGTAAGCTGAGATGAGTGAGACTTACTGGGGTTAATGGTGGTAGAACAAGCAAATCAGGACTACAGAGAAACTTGAGCTAGAACTAAGATGAAGGACTGGAATGACTTTCATGTGGGTTATTTATTTAAATACTAAGCAGAATTTCCTAGATTCTCATCACTGTTTGTATTTTAGCTTCATTTCATGATATTTGAGATAGAGTAGTACTGAGCCATTCTAGGGTCTTTTACTCTAGTTTCTAATTCCAGGAGGATTACTGCTTAGGACTTGCTTTTTTTACCTGGGGAAGAGATATACCTAAGGACAAACTGGACTAACTGAACAGGGAGACAAGGGACGTCGGGAGGTGAACCACAAATTTAAATTGCAGCAGAAAAGCCCGTGGACATATGGGCTTCCTGAGCACCAGGGAGTACTTCAGGATGAACTATGGGTTTCTGTTCATGAAGAGTCTCAGCACAGCTCTACTCAGAGTGTTAAGGTGACTTTTAAACCCAGAACACTGAGGTTCCAGTTTAGAATAGGACCTGCTTCTTAGGCTGATGACTTTCAATGTAAGGAAAAAATCTTCATTTAAACCCTAGTTGGTACCAATACCTATCAGTCCAGTCCTGTTAAGGTGTGAGAAACAAAGATGACATTCAGGCCTTTGTGTCTTCTTGCACATATATGGTGGGGGTCTTGAGTGTAGCTTCTTTTCCCCCCAAACCCCAACAAATAAATATGTGTTTATAGGTTAGCATATAAGTCATATGATGGTGGGGGCTATGATCTTTCCAAATTCCACAGATGGATATGGTGAAAAACCTTGCTAATTACACAGGATTTAGAGAGAGATGAAGTACAGAAGAAATGTGCTATGGGATAAAATCTTAGTGACAACTCTCAGGAGATAAAGGAAGAAATATAAAGCAGGAAACTCCCACTCTGACCCCACTAAGTAGAACACTCTGGCCCAACTTTTGCCCTTATCCTTCCCTCCCTACAACTACCAAATGAGAAATGGGGGAGGAAATAGCATGTGTCCAAAAACAGATCCTTCCTGCTACCTTCCACACAAGAGATATGGCTGTACTTCCAGAGCTTGCTTGAATTAGAGTGGAGGGGTGACAATGAATGGTGACTCACCTGTGAGACCATGTGATTATTCAAGGGTGGCTGTTGCTGAGGTGTGGGTGGGAGAGCAGGAAGTTGCTGCTGCTGCTGCTGCTGCTGCTGCTGCTGCTGGGCAGTGCAAGGGAGAAGGCCCCGGACAGACTGGGATGAGGTGACCTGGTTGCACACTTCTGGGGCACCTAGTGCCATACCTAAGGCAAAGAGGAGACCCACCAAAAGCTGTAAGCACAAGCAATGAACATGCTGCCCCTGGAAAGCATAGTTGCCGGTTTCTCCTGGTTCCTTGCCCTTCCTCTTCACTCCCCCACTGCCTTGTGAAGACCACGATATCTTTCATTTGGCATACTGAAGGGAGTCCTCACCTTAGCAGGTTTCTGCTCCCTAGGGATAGGAATCACCTTGACTATCAATGTTTAGTTTTGGACTTGGACAAAATGTGAGGCTGCTGAAGCACCTCCCCTGAAGTACCTATATTCTGTCCATCATGATTAAAGAGCTGAAAATGTGAATGCTGACTTCCTGGGAGGGTACAGATTCCTGGGCTTTTAAGGGACCTTATTTTTGTTGCTTTCTTCTCAACTTGCAGCATCTCCTACGTAAGTTGGTGAGAGCACAACCTTGCCTCTTTGAGTACATGGTTGAACACACACATACACACAACATTTACCCAACTATTTTTCCCATTTCTGGGCGCTCAAAGGCATGAACACATTCACACAATATACTTTCACCAAATATCTATTATGTGCCAGGCATCATGTAATAACTAAAGACATAAATGTGAACAAAACATAGTCCTTAAGTAGCATAGGATCTTCTGATGGGAGATGAGCAGGCACACACCTACTATAATCTAATAAGGATAAGGGATATATCAGTGATATCAACAAAGCTGTTTGAAAGCAAAGACAAAGAAGCAATAACTCTTAGAAGTGTCAGGGAAGAATTTAAAAAGGATGTAGCAGGAGGGCTAGATTTGAAGTATGAATAGAGCTTGTCAGGCTGAGGAGGTACAAAACTAATACCACATTCAAGAAATAGCTGGAGGGCTGGAGGGGGGATAGATACCTGGAAATGAGATTGCAATGGCAAACCAGAGTCAGGAAGTTATGCTACTTTAAGTAGTTTGGATTTTATTACGCAGGTGATAACAGAAACAAATGTTTTTAAGAGGGGACCGATGTGTTCAGATCTATGTTTTAGATTGGTATGCTAGCTCTAAAAAGAGCTGAGAGCAGAGCAGGGAGATCAGTTTGGGAGCTAGTGTCATAATTAAAGAATAGGAAAGAAAGATCTGGATAAAGCCTTGGACATTGGGATAAGAAAGAAGATAACAGAGAAGGGCAGTAGAAAGCTGAGGGTCAGAAGCACAATCTTTCACATTACTGATGTGTACTTGAGATAACACCTATAGAACTTATGGGATGAGATTCAAGCAATTCTTTAGAGAGGAAAGGGTGAAGTAGAAGTCCACAAGTATAAGTGGCTAAATACCCTGCTACAAGAGTACAGCAGGAATAGATGCAAAGGGCAAGGCAGCAGATCAGGAGAGCTGAAGGGTGTGGTTACAGGGCTTTCATGTCTAATCCTTCCAGTCACTGAACTCTAGAAAAGCAGCCAGAGCAATATCCCTTTAAGTTCTAGCCTACTGGCTGCTACCAACTCATAACAAACAGCTAAACTCTACAGATTCTCTCTGCTGTTACAAAGCCTCTTTATAATCTCAAGGAGCATAGAATGAAAGCAGCTGTCACTTTGACCTTAGTATATAACCTGGGCTGATAGGGATTCCCACCTTAGTCAAAAATCAGAGGAATAATCTAGTCCAGAAAAGTCCCCCCTCCCCCGCACTCAGGGTGGAAGGTTTGGAAAAAATTAAGAGGGCACTAGATACAAGAAAGGACAATGGATCTAAAAAATCAAATCCCTGGCTGGGTGCAGTGGCTCACGTCTGTTATCCTAGCACTCTGGGAGGCTAAGTTGGGTGGGCTGCTTGAGCTCAGGAGTTTGAGACCACCCTGAGCAAGAGCGAGACCCCTGGCTCGGCGCCTGTGGCTCAAGTGGCTAAGGCGCCAGCCACATACACCTAAGGTGGCAGGTTCGAATCCAGCCCAGGCCCACCAAAAACAATGACGGCTGCAACCAAAAAATAGCCGGATGTTGTGGTGGGCGCCTGTGATCCCAGCTACTTGGGAGGCTGAGGCAGGAGACTCGCTTGAGCCCAGAAGTTGGAGGTTGCTTGAGCTGTGATGCCATAGCACTCTACCCAGGGGGACAGCTTGAGGCTCTGTCTCAAAAAAAAAAAAAAAAAAAAAAAAAACAAGAGCAAGACCCCGATTCTAAAAATAAAAAAATAGCCAGATGTTGTGGTGGTGCCTATAGTCCCAGCTACTCAGGAGGCTAAGGCAAGAGAAGTGCTTAACCACAACAGTTTGAGGTTGCCGTGAGCTGTGACGCCACAGCATTCTACCAAGGGTGACCAAGGGAGACTCTATCTCAAAAAAAATCAAATCACCCTCCAGGTATGTTAGGTTTCCAGGAAAATATATTGGGACAAGTATTTTATTAAACGTAAATATCAGTGATGTGATAGTTCATTACACAACTAAGAAGACAAATACAAGGGGACAGGCATGAGATAGAAAGAATGAAGCAGCAGTACCTGGCCTGGAAATCCTTCCTGCACTGCCACCTTTGCTGCTGCCAATGCTGTCACCTCGGGTGAGGATAGAGATTCCACTGAAGCTGCTGGCTTTGGTGACAGGGGGTCGCATGCTCCGGACAGAGCCATCAGAGTCTGTGCTGCTCCAAGGCCGGGGCTCCAGGGATTTGAGTTCGCTGTCTGTGCTGCTCTGGCGGCTGCTTGAGGTGCGGCTCAGCCCTTCACGGTTCCCCCTGCAGAGACCACAGTGGTCAGAGCACCCCCCACCCACCACTTCAGCAGAAGGGACAGGACAGAGTTTATTTCTATTCTCTCAACAACAAAGAGAGGGTGCAGATTAGGCGGGGGATGGACACTGACTTCTTGTTAGCTGGTTGGCCAACTAAGACTTGATGGGAGCAGACACAACAAGATTCAGTACAGTAACAAAGAACAGAGAGGTATATCTTGAAGACAGTGAACTAGCAATTAATTCAATACATCAGACCAGAGGTGGATGGGAAACCACACACATGATGCTGAGATTGGCTGTGGTCTTTTCCCCACTCCCTGAGGAGAATCCCACACATGCAGGAAATTGTGGGGAGCAAAGGGGTACCAGTTCCTTCTGAGAGTTCTGAAAGCAGGACTCCTAGAAGTTACTATTGCTAGAAGGCAAGAGTAGCCAATGACACAGATAAATCCCACAACAGGTCTTCCACATAACACATGTCTAAGCCAGCAGAGGTGCTGTTTATGGCCACCTTTCCAGGAGTTGGAAGAAGAGTATAGAGGTCTCAAGGGACACTCTGAAAAACAGTCTACAAAGTCTAGAAATGACCCAGCCTGTTTGTGGAAGTTCCATGTTAGTGTTTGAGAACAACTGGTACCAGGGTCTCTAATGGCCAAAGTCCTCAGCAAGATCAAGCGAATATGCCCTTGGGACTCAGGATGGCACGGGGCAGAGGGGACTGACTGTGCCTCATTGCCTCCATATTCATAATCCTAATGTCCTGGGAAAAGCTATTAAGAAAAGGGATTCTTCCTCTCTTTTTTAGCTCTGGAAACATCATTATCCTGATGTTACAATCACTGTCTATGATTATAAACAGCTGTATGCCTCAAAATAGTGAGCTTGAAAACCCTGTCTTGTTGAGCTCTTACTATCTCTTCAATAAGCAACCAAGAGCCAGCAAATTTTCTTTCACATCCCCACCCGCAGTAACTAATAACCTCAGGAAACCAGATGACAACAATTACAAAGATTTTGGTATGTATACTGAGAATAATTAAGCAAAAATCATCGTAGTTTGGGCTCCCTCCTTTTTCACCACCATCTTGCCAAAAGCAAATAGAAAACCTCATCCCAATCTCCTTAGCTTCAAAGGCATTAGACTCAGAGTTATTCTAATAAAGAAGATGTTTTTCTCAGTGGATTAATATCAAAGAAAATATCTTTCTTTATTAGAACACTTACTCCAGAGGCACTGTAAGGAAAATGAACACAATACATGTTAGGGTCACTTTTTTTTTTTTTTTTGCTAAGCCAATCATGGTGAGCTCAGAACACACTGGCACAGGTGGTTAGGAACATGCTAATTCTTCTCTGAAACCCTAAGTAGGTGTGTTTGTGTGTGTGTGTGTGTATATACACACATATAAAATTTAAATTCTTCTCTCTTTGTAGTTAGAATAGAAGACTGAAAAATATTCCTGTTTCCCCAAAACTTTACCCCTATCTCTTGGAATGTCAAAATAGAATGGGAAACAAGAGAAAAGTGTATGTTAGAGATTTTCTAGGAATAGAATCAGACCTGAAGTAAGAGCCAATAGCTCTATCTCAATGGACAAGCATACTAACAGGACTCAGTAAAAATACATGTGTTTATGGGATAAGGGGATACAGCAGTGGCAATGGATAAGGCTGCTCATTGGACACTAGAGCTTGAATTTTGCAAGATAAGTCCTCATAGCCTACCTAAATCGAACACTTTACTATCTATTAGAGCAATCCTGCAATTTACTTTATCTTGCTACCAGAGGTAAACAAAGAACAAAGCAACTTTAAACCAAATACCTTGGGAAGCTAGGGCCAAAATGGCAGCACTTCTGTACTCATCTAGTTCTCCAAGACAGTGATGACCAAATGCTCAAAATGTGAACTATCTGATGATCTTCTGACTAATGTGGTATAGCACACTACTCCCCTGTGTGTTAAAGAATCTAAGGAAAGAGATCAGTTTTCCCTCTGTAGAAATAATCCTGTTTCAATCTCTAGTCATGTCTCAATACTTCACTCAAAATTAGGCAATTAGGGAAGCTACTCAGATTCAGTTCCAAGCACTGAAGTGGCGCTGTGTGTGTCCTGGAGAGATTGGATAAAGAACAGAGTATTGACACTTCATTCTATAAAAATCAGAGCTGGTTTAGTTTTTACAAGTAGGTTTAGGGCTGAGTCTAGAGAGTAGATAGGGAGGCCAGTGGAAGAGGTGGCAATAAATAATAGTAAGCCTCACTATGGCTTATTTATCAATGCAGTAGAATTTTTTTAAAAACTGAGAAGTTGCCATAGTTATTACCAATGTGGATGATGGAATTTGATATACAGGTATTTGTTTCACAAACAAAAACTGGGGCAGAAAGGGGATAAAGCAGTTAGCCTAGCCTAAGCAACATAGAGAGACCTTGTCACTACAAAAAATAGAAAAATTAGGTTGGCACAGCGGTGCACACCTGTAGTCCCAGCTACTTGGGAGGCTGAGGCAGGAGGTCACTTGAGCCCAATGATTCAGGTTGCAGTGAGCTATGATGATGCCACTGCTCTCTCACCTGGGCAACAAAGCGAAACCCTGTCTCAAAAAAGCTGGAGGGAAAAAAAGGCAGTTAGAGAAGAAAGATCAGCTTCTGATCATTAAAGTTACAGACGAGTATCCAAATAGGGGAAATAGCTCCTTAAGAGCCCATGATACCGCATTTTCTATTACCTAGATCTGTAGTCAAAAGCTCAGTTTGAAATGTAGCCACTTAAAACGCGATCTGGAAAGAAGAGGGCTGCACCTGCTCACTAGATCCTTTAGGGCATTATCCACACAATGTGATGCTCCACAGCATTAGTAAGGGCAGAATTCTTTTTTTTTTTTTTTTTTTTTTTGAGACAGAGCCTCAAGCTATTCCCCTGGGTAGAGTGCCATGGCATCACGCTCACAGCAACCTCTAACTCCTGGGCTCAAGCGAGTCTCCTGCCTCCGCCTCCCAAGTAGCTGGGACCACAGGCGCCCGCCACAACGCCCAGCCATTTTTTGGTTGCAGCCGTCATTGTTGTTTGGCGGGTCCGGGCTGGGGATTCAAACCCGCCACCTTAGGTGTACGTGGCTGGCGCCTTAGCCGGTTGAGCTATAGGCGCCGAGCCAGGGGCAGAATTCTTAGCAGGGAATCTGGATGAGGACTCCAAACAGAACAGTACTCGGAGAGGATGGGGTGTCATTTGTAATTTGTAGAGAGCTGGTATGGTGTAGTGAAAAAAAAAACACTGGACAAAGAATCAGTTCCAGTTTTGCCACTAATAGCCATGTAAATGAACTAGCCACTTAATCCCTATGTTTTTGTTTTCTTAGATGTAAACCAGCTGAGCAAATCAGGATGCTGAGAGAACTGAATCAGATAAAATATACTCTGGCAACTGTAAGGCACTGGACATTAATTCATTCACAGTAGTTGCCTTAAAACTCCTTGTAGGTATTCTGGGATGATCTATAATCCTGGAGTGTAAACTGTGGAGCAGAAATTTTTTTTTTTTTAATGTGGGGAGAGTCTATCTATCTTTACCATCACCACCAATCCAAGGCCCTCTCTGCCTGGGGTTTTCAGAGAGACCTAAGGGCAGGATGGCCTAGGAAAGATATGGAACATCCTCCACATCAAGAATGGTAAATCTCACTATCCTAATTTTCATATAGTTTGGTTAGCTTTATAAAGGACAATAGGGAAGGGACAATTAAAGCAGAAATGAGATCTCAAATTTGAGTCAGATAGTACCTTCCAAGAATAGTGTTCAAAAAGAGAGAAACATTTTAGAAAGGGCTGGACCTAAATCCTAGTGTTAAATACTCAGAATCTCTGTATTCTATAGTTTTCCTATTGGTAAAATGGGAAGAATATACTTAAAATGAGTTGGTACCAGGACAGGGCCCTAAGGCGGTGCTTTTCTCATCACTGCCTTGTATTTTCCCCTGGGGTGGGACTAAGAGACTGCAAAGAAAGAGACATTGTTATAATTGCTTTGTGGGAAAATGGAGACTAGTAGGCACTGGGGGAATTAATACAGCAGTTTTAACCAGCATTAAGCACAAGTAATGGACAATCATACAGAGGACATGCTGAAGTTCATTCTCAGGCAGACAGGTCTATTAGAGGTCTTTTCTGAGGTCATCTTACTAACATTACATTGTCTCAAAGAGAAAACTACACAGACAAGTGTTCCTGCATGTTTCTATATATGTGAATGTACTATTTTTTCTTAAAGATATAAAACATTCCTAATGCTGGGCCAGGGATAAGCTCTCTATATCTTTCCATTGATTTAGAAAAGGTAGCCAGAAGACACCCATTCTTTTACCTTACTATAGAGGTGTATTTAAATATCAAAAATGCCCGATTTCAGCACACTTCTGGGAGGGAGCAGTACCTATTCCAGACAAACCTATCCAGTCCCTTTCACCACCTATTAAAAACTTAAATAAAATTGACAACAATAAAAATAACATCATTAAGCAGAAGCCATTTTTTTAATGGGGAAAAATATCCAATGTTGCAAAACCCACAAATTTAATTATTCCACAAGCAGCCATGCATGGAGCAAACCCACTCCGCTGAAAAGATTACAGCAAAACAAAATAAAATTTAAAATAAATAGAAGAGAGATCACACAGAAGTACCTAAAAATCTGCCTTCTCTTGTGAGAGCTAGAAGAAAAGGCTTCTTTGGAGAGTCTGTTGGTTAACATCAAAGAAAAGCATCATTACAGGATTATATTAATCTCACTGACAAAGCTCAATGAGAAGCAGGGAACATGCTATGTGGTACTAACCTGATGTCACTTAGATATCCGTTCTGGCCAGTCTAGGTGAGGGGGAGAAAACGGAAAATAACTTATAAGAAAACAGCATGGCAAACTGAAAAGGATGTCCATGATGCTATGAATACCCAAGGTCCTCAAACCAGAGCTCATCCCACCAACAGGGAGAGAGGGAGCAGGGACAGGATGACCCACACCCACATACCCAATCTGACTTCTCACCTTTAATGGCAAAGAGCACTTGGCGTTTTTAGTCTTCCCACAGAGGGTTTAAAAAGAGAGGTTGATAAAAGTAGAAGTATGGAAAGGAGAAAGAGGAAAGTATTAACCTAATGATTATTTCCTTTTTAGCTCTAAATTTGTTGTTCTAGAGGTAAGCTGAGAATAACAATTGGTGTGCTTAGTCCTAAAGAGTGTATACAGAGGAAGGGAAAAGGGAGACAAGAGAAAGAAATGTTGTTTTTTAGAAATCGTTCTCAACAGCTATTTCATTTCTGTCCCCTACACTGGCCAAAATGAAAGACATTCTGACCTGAGACCCAAGGAGGGTGGGATATTGGGGAAGCAGGTACTTATCAAAGCCTAGGAAAAATGAGAAAATTAAAAGCCTAAAACATTCCCCTTGGGGATCATTTCCTGACAAAGCCACTGAGCCGAGTGAAGTGAGCAGTGTGGTGGACTCCCAAGCTTTTGAAAAAGGTAACAAGAGTGTCCAGCTGCTGAGCAGAATGGGCTCTGTGTAGGGCCAAGCCTCTGTGAGGCGGCTTTCTCAATGCACAGCTCAGGCTCCAGAGAAGGCTACAGCAGCAGCATTTCCATCCAAACACCCTTCTTGCCACTTCCCTTTCTTTTTGGCCTTCTTCCTGCTCCCACCCTCATTCCCCAGACCTACAACTCCACCCTTAACCAGTTCCCTTTGACTGGCCAGGCTCCTCTCCACACAGAATCTTTCGAGTATGATGGGCTTTGGCTACTGTTCCTTGTCTAGACCTTCTGAGATGCCAGATGCCTCTACCACGACAAGAATTAGCATGTGCTGAAATGAAAGTGATAAATCCACAGGGATTTAACAGAGAATACATATATTAGTAGAGGCTTGAGAGACTAGAAATCAGGAGAAAAAAGGAGAGAAGAGCTAATTTGCCTTTGTTATAGTTGCAGGTAGATATATTCCTGTGTTGTTTATTAGCTCCAATACCTGAACATAAGTCACCTGTGCTTTCAGAACATCTGTGGCTTTACTAATGGCTGGCATAGAAAGGTAGTCATTTTCCACACATAAGTGACAACAGAGGAACATACCACAGCTAGCTAGCTAGGCTATGATGTCATCAGCACCTCATCTAAAGAGCCCACAGCAAGCAAACTACTGAGAGGTGGTATACATTGGGGCTGAGAGCACAGACTCCAGAGCCTGAATTCAAATGCCTACCTCTTCTGCTAACTAGTAGTGTGAACTTACTGATTATGTGACCTCTCTGTGCCTCAGTTCCTTACTTATAAAATGGGAAAGTAATGTAACCTATCTCACAGTCCTGTGTGAGGATTAAGTGAGTTAATTTACATAAAGTGCTAAGAGCAATGTAAGCACTATATAAGTGTCTGCTATTATTTATCCACCAACCTGCTCTGTCCACAACTTATTTATTTATTTACTTTTTGTTGCAGTTTGGCTGGGGCCAGGTTTGAACCCGCCACCCTCAATATACGGGGCCGGCGCCCTACTCACTGAGCCACAGGCGCCGCCCTCTGTCCACAATTTAGAGTCATCACTGGCCTCAGTTGTGTGCAAATGACATTTCTCCTCTCATTCCACCCAAATGGTTTGTAGGTAAAGGTAGAGAATTCTTTTTGGGCTATGATGGATAATTTGGAGGACCAACTTTTCTGACTCAGAATGGAAGTCTATATAACAGAAGGTAAGAAGATTCTTTCTCCTTGGACTTTGGGCCAGAAGGCTGGTCGTGTATCAGTCCCCAGTGAGGATCTCTGGAAGAACTTGGGTCTCCTGAGACAATGAAGCAAGTACATAGAGGAATTCAGTTTTTAGTTGGAGACAGTATTTTTCCGGGCAAGGTGATAATGAAAAGATACATATACTTTTTATCCTGGGGGAATGGGAGGAGAGTAGTGTCCATGTAAGTATACTGATTAAAACTGACCACCTTTTGACAATGAAGGGAGAGCAGCTTTCGCTCCTTTGTTGCTAGTCTATGAGATAGTGCCACTATCTGGATCCTGTATTTCCTGGAGGTTTGTTCCTCCCTTGACTATCCAACACTCTTTCCTGAATTTCTGCCGTTCTTCTCTTCAATCTGGTAGGCAAAGGTGACCAGACATAGAGGTACCAAGTATATTTGATATGACTGCAATTAAGTATAAAGTTGCCTAGACTGATTCATGCTGGCTTTTGGCCCAAAGAGCCAGTCCTGTTCTAGGAGGCAAAGTAAGAAATATAAGAAGAAAGCTTCCTGTTGAGGCAGAGACTGGAGGGAATAGTGGTACTCTCTGTGCATGCAGAATGTGGAGCTCAAAGAGGATGGATGCCAGACCTGTACTCTAACAATAACCAACACATCCTAAAAACAAGACTGATCCAACAAGATGAATGTATAGCCTGTGTGAACACTACGTCTTCCACTTAGAAGCAAAGAAGCCTAAAATGGATAGTGGGAGTGAAAGAAGGTAAGAGGGAGGAGGGTTTTGCAGGCAAGATTCAGGGCCCTTCCACAATCCCTGCCAAAACCATTTCTATTTTCAGTCTAGTCATATTTACCAAATTCAGCCACTCCAAGTTTTAGTTCTCATTGTATACCATATGGCAGAATGTATTAAAAATAATAAAAATGAAAATCTGCAGCTTCCCAATAAGCCACATTTAATTTTAGAGATAAAATCTGGGGCTGGCTGATGTTGGTTGAAAAAACAAACAAAAAACCCAAAGACATTTATGGAGGGTTCATTCCATTCACAGTTCCAAAGATTAAGAGCTAAAAGCTATGGGCTGACAACTCTCAGATGCTACACTTACCTCTCGGGCAAATATTCTCTCTCGGACCCTTTGATATTCCTCCTCTCTCTCTTCTATTGACTTGCTCCTCCTTCCATCCTGCAATGGAACTCTGATCTAGATCGATGAGCAGAATTAAGCTAGTTAAGTTCTCCTCGTACTGCAAGCTCACTGCACACCAGCAAGGAAGAGAAACCGGGAAAGTTTATAGTTGCCATCAAAAAAGTGGAAAAAAAATAAATTTCCAGTCCTGGACAGGTTTCACTGGGTACATCTGACCATGCAGTTTGGGAGATCAGGTTTTCTGGATGGCTGGGGACTCTCCATTTCCCCACCCCCAATCCCCCAAAGTATTAAGAACATAAACTATTTATAAGGACTGGGTTGCTTTCCTATAGTAATTAGGTACCCTCTAGTCAGTAAGGATCAAGAAAATAGTCCTGGGAAAATAAAAAACATTGCTCTATAGCAGGCGTCCTCAAACTACGGCCCGCAGGCCACATGCAGCCTGCCTAGGACATTTATCCAGCCTGCCGGGTGTTTTTGCCGCTGCTGCCTGTCCTGCTTAGCAGCTGACTCGTCCCGGGGCCTGCAGTCTGGCCCTCCAACAGTCTGAGGGGCAGTGAACTGGCCCCCTGTTTAAAAAGTTTGAGGACCCCTGCTCTAGAGGGAAAGCAAGGGACAGAAAGAAGCTACAAAGGGAGAAGAAACAGGTATTTAGCAGAGCCTAACGTAGAAGAGGAGGTTTATAGAACTAGCACCTTATATTATTCCCTCTTCAGTCACTAATGTCCTGGTCTGAAGACCTAAATCACACATAGCTCAGCAAAGAGGGCCTTGGAAATGAAATCCCAAGGGCGAAGCTAAACTCAAATCCTAAGCATTCTTTTTCTCATCTTAACTGGAGGGAGAGAAGGAGAGAAAGAAATTACAGAAATACAGAAGAAAGAGAACAGAGCAACACAAAGAGAAGAAAAAGGAAAGGAGAACAGAACAGAAAGAAAGAAGAACAGAGAGAGGAACGGACAAAGTACAGTGGAAGGAGAAATGGGACACAGAGACAGGAAGGGAAAGAAGGAAATGGAGAATAGAGAAGTTTACATTCCTGGAAAATGTAGTGAGGTGACTAGAAGGGATGGCCGGACAGATTACCACCTCTGACTGGCCTGCCACCTAACTCCCCATCACTGTCTTTCTTCTCTTGGCTTCTGATTTGTGAACACTGTCTGGAGTAACAGAGTACCCTTTTCCATATTGCTATTGAAGGCAAGGAGCTCAGAGAGAAAAGTCATCAAACGAATGTCATCAGTTATAAAAGATTGTGACCTCCAGTCCAGAGGCTTTGAAAGCTTCAGATGAAGCAACCAAGGAGACTGCTGCTCTAGGCTGATCTTCACCAATCTCCAGAGGGAGCCATAATTTCAGGAACATCGACTTCTCACTAGCCTTAAGAACATAAATCCTACAAAATGTTCTTTTATAAATTCCACTCCAAGAAGACAAAGGACCTCAAGGAGCTATACCGTTCTCAGCCCCTAGCACTGGCAAACCAATAACAGAGTAGAAAGAGCATAATGGGCTGTGAGGTCAGACAGAATCTCAGCTCTGCCACTTACCATTTAATGTGACTTTAGGCAAATAACTTAGTATCTCTTAGCCTCAGTTTTCTTATATGTAAAATGGGGATAATAACCCTTATCTACATTGGATTGTAAAGAGGATTAAAAGAGAAAATGCATAGAACAGACCCTAGTTCAGGGAAAACACTCAATAAAATAGCAATTGCTGTTCTTGTTATTTATATCACAGCCAGATAGTTTACAGATTCCACCCTATTACGGATCAAGTCTGAAGCTGAGAGATGAAAAGTTCATAATAAGGATAGATTCCACTCTGCTCCAATGTGCCTCTAGGCCTAAATAATTTCTGATCCACAGAAAAATGGTTTTGGGAAAATGGAGAGAAGGGCATCAGGATGGAAAGACTCTTTCTTGTTTTTTCACTTTTGTCTTTTTGTATGTTTCTTTGTTTTCAATCAGACCCAGCGTGTTTGTCCACAATAGATAATGGCACTTTTCTCAAAAGGACTCTCTCAAACACTCAAGTAGCAAGCAGGAAAGGTCCTGGTTTCAAGACCGTACAATATCCCAAGAAAACCAATTGTGACTTTATAGGTAAGATGTTATTATAATTATCATTAATTATCAAGCCTCATATTGGTTCTATACAACCACACTCTTCAAATATTATTCCCTTTGGAGGCCGAGCAGAAGCAGGCTGAATCTAAACCCTCTACTTAGCTAGGAAACTAATCTTCAAATAATCACTTACTCTCCAAAGGTTCAGCTAAAGGGCGGGGTAACAGCCAGGCCCATAAATAAAGGGCTGGGACAGGTTATTCATTTCTTATTCCCGCAGCTGTGGATCATAAAGAGGATAGTGCCTGAGGTTTCCAGCATCAAAAGTCAAATTAACTCACTCACCTTGGTGGACAGAGCTGGGAAAAGATTAAGGAGTTTACAGAAAGGGATCAGAAACACCTTTATAACTGGGTATATTAGATCAGAACTTTGCCAGTTCAGGGCTAGTCCTCAGCTAGGATAAGAGAAGTGGGATAATGTAACTTTTTATGGTTCCCAAAGAAATCCCTAACTATTAAAGAAAAAAAGACTGAAACCATCAGCTGGATCAAAGCTGAGGCAGGGAGGGATCTTGCTTTATCCAAAATGATGTGGCATTAGAAATTAGCGGCAGACCTAAGGAGTTATAGGCCAAATGAGATTACCCAGCAAACCTCAGCACCATGTCTCTCTGGGGCTAAGGGGGGGTGGCATCCAGCTCAGCAAGTAAAGTCAGTCCTCAACATTAAGCCAAAGCCAACTCAGTATTGCTCAATACATTTTTCCAGACTAAGATATTCTGAGTTTTCTACATCCCACAAAAATTCTTCTCCCTTCCCAGTTTCTCTTACTGCAATCTCTTTCCATAGGCCCACCCTTTTCCATTCTTCACCTGGTTATCATCTCGGTCCATACTGGCATCGTCTCTTTTGAGAATGAATCTCTGTTGAAATTCTGTATTCTTCTCATCCTTTATATGTTCTGAGAACCTCTGTTCAGGGCTGAGATTTAGAGAGAAATGTGGAAGAAAGGGAGGACAAAGACCCTTTTGTTAGGAAGCAGACCTCCTAGGTACAGACATCCTAAGTTCCACAATTCAGATTCAGGGAATTTTTGGATTCGGGCATCCAAAAAGTCACATGAAGATTTTTTTTTTTTTTTTTTTTTTTTTTTTTGAGACGGAGCCTCAAGCTGTCCCCCTGGGCAGAGTGCCGTGGCATTACAGCTCACAGCAACCTCCAACTCCTGGGCTCAAGCGAGTCTCCTGCCTCTGCCTCCCAAGTAGCTGGGACCACAGGCGCCCGCCACAACGCCCGGCTATTTTTTGGTTGCAGCCGTCATTGTTGTTTGGCGGGTCCGGGCTGGGGATTCGAACCAGCCACCTTAGGTGTACGTGGCTGGCGCCATAGCCAGTTGAGCTATAGGCGCCGAGCCTGAAGATTTTAATGAAATCTTTAGGGTCTGTTATTTTTAAATTTTTTATTTTTCCTATTCTTTTTTTTTTTTTGCAGTTTTTTGGCCAGAGGCTGGGTTCGAACCCACCACCTCTAGCATATGGGGCTGGCGCCCCACTCCTTTGAGCCACAGGCGCCGCCCAGGGTCTATTCTTTATATATCTATAATTTCTATTCCTCCAAAGTTTTACCTGTCCTATCAGTGAAGACACAGGCTTAGACCAGTCTTCTTAACATACCATTGCTTCTAGACTCTATCTCTAGGCTTGGCGTCTGTAGCACAATGGTTACTGCACTGGCCACATACACCCAGGCTGGCAGGTTTGAACCCAGCCTGGGCCAGCTAAACAACAATGACAATTGCAAAAAACAAACAAACAAACAAACAAACCAAACAATAGCCAGGCATTCTGGTGGGTATCTATAGTCCCAGCTACTTGGGAAGCTGAGGCAAGAGAATCACTTAAATCCAAGAGTTTGAGGTTGCTGTGAGCTGTGACGCCACAGCACTCTACCGAGGGCAACATAATAAGACTCTGTCTTCAAAAAAAATAGAATCTATCTCTAAGGCTTCACAAAGAATAGGAACTGATGATATAAGCCTTCCATTCCCTCCCCTGAAAGAGATTTCTTATCCTCTTCCACCCTCGCAGGTCATCCTGGGAAAGCATTCCCATTCTGCAGTTTCCTCCCTTACATTCTTGTGTTACTCGTTTTGTTGATGATGACAGCTTTCCCAGTTTGATCAACATTGTGGTCCATCCCAAAATAGGCAGCTACCCGGTGTAATAGCATCCGGTGATACGAGGTCATCTGAGGAAACTTCTTGAACTGGTTACTAAGGGGAAACCCAGGGGAAAAAAGTGAAGTAAGACAAACTACAGCCATAGCAGCCAATTATAAATTTCCTGACAAGTCTATAAAGTAGAGAATTTCTTAGAGGCGAAACAAACATATTATAGGGAAGATATTTCCTCAGTGGGAACAAAAAAGGTTTCTGTCAGCTTCTTTATCTACACTAGTTTACAAACAACTCTGACCCACTATCCTCATTGAGACTACTTATCAAGTCCAAAGTCCCATCTACTTGGATGATGTACAATAAATTAAAAGGGGAAAACCTTAAGAATAGTAAAATCTGGAACGAGGATTGGCTGCTGAAAAGATATAAACTCTTTTCCAACTCAAGTCTATGCAATAACTTAAAAACCTTATTTTGTTTTCATAATGCATTGTTTCCATTCTGATTGTTTCTCCCTAACTCCTTCTGTTCCCCAGTAATTACTTCAAAATTCATACTTTAAGAGACAAATGAAAGAGGGATGTCCTAAAATTGTATCTACATTTCTTTCCAGTGCCCCCTCCCACCTCTAAATGTGTATTTCATATAAATAACTTACTTGTTGTCATTAATAAATTCCAGAATCTCCTGTTCTAATTTTAGCAGCATCATTCTGTCCCTGTTTAAAAAAGATTAAAACAAAACAAAACAAAAAGCAGCCCTCCCATAGATATTGGAAACAGAGACTGAAAACACAGCTTGCTCACTATAGAAGTTGAAGAGAGGAATATAGCCCAACCCCAGTAATGGATCATCATGCAGAGGCTGCTAACCCTCACCAGCCAGTATTATAGAATTTTAAAAAAGAAAAACCACCCAAATATAAATTTTGTAGACCCTTGCTAGTCATGTTTATTATACTGTATCAGAAATCTAATTTTATTAGTAGTATATTCACACTAATCCATACGTTAAACTTACAAATCTAATCATTATTCTATATTTCATCTTTTATAGAATTTTAAAGCAATTATGATTTAGCTTATGTGCAAATCAATTTTTTCTTCTGTGCTTTTTAATCAGTGTACTCCTGTTTTCATATTTGTCTTTGCATTCTTCTTCGACAGAATTTTTCTCAACTCTTCTGAAAGCAGAAATCTTAATATAAGAGGACTGTGAATCCCTCACAGAATATAAAACTATACTTGAAAATGATTGGGGAGGGAGATGCCCTAAATTCTAATGATGTAAAAAATCTGGGAAACTACTTGGCCTTCTGGAATCTTGCTGGTCTCTATCCCCTTTACCTCTTACACCAATCGTATTTTTACCTTGGGTTTTTTTTCAGTGTATTTACAAGAAATTCATGTAGGTCTATTCCAGTAGAGTCCGTATATTCTTGGCTGGAGTCTAGAATCACCACAACAAAAGAAATTTAAAATAAATGCAACTGCCTTGCATGGTATCTAATCCCAAGCAGAAGCCCACAACCTAGTCAGGAAAGAGAGAATAGGAAAGTAACATCAAACTTCAGGGGTTTTAGCATAAAATTCAAAACAACTTTAATATGCTAATTCCCAGTCCCCCCAAATCCCCCAACAAAATAATAGAAGGAAGAATCTGGGCCACAGTGCTGTATAAATACTGCACTGAAAAACCTCCAATCATCAGTAAGTATTAACTGAATGCCCTGATCAAAACAAACCAGATTTGGTTGGTGTGGCGGCTAATACTTGTAATCCTAATACTGTGGGAAGCTGAGGCTGCTCAGGAGTTTGAGACCAGCCTGAGCAAGAGCAAAACCAGGTCTCTACCAAAAACAGAAAAAATTAGCCAGTCTTTATGGCAGGACCTGTAGTGTCAGCCACTGGAGAGTTCAAATGCCTGAACTCAGGAATTTGAGGTTGCTATGAGCTAGATTGATACCACAGCACTCTAGCTGGGACAACAGAGTGACACTCTGTCTCAAAAACAAACAAACAAAAAAAAACAAAGCAAGTTTTATTCTAGTTAAAGAAATAAAGTTGGAGGTGAAGACAGACAGGGCTGAATTTTCCAGGATCTTAGTAAATATGCCCAAATATTGATTATTTTTAATCCATCAAGGTTGCCTTTTCTTGTCAGCTACTATTTTTGTAGAATATTTCTTTTTACTACCAACATAAGAATTGAAAGCCTAAGAAAGTCTAATAATTGCAGGCAAATCTATATTATTAAAAAGAAAATCACTTTAGCCATCCCTAAACCAAAATATATAAAAATGGTATCTAGAGGATATGCTACCAGTGATTTTCCATGTCCTCATTTATTTCAGAAGCTAAAGAGAATCAGAACTGGCTATACTGTCCTCTTATGGGTAGTGCCAATGCAGCTAGAGTAACTTTTTGTGGCTAAGACAGGGTCAGTTGAAGAAATAAAGTAACCTAGTTAGGTATCTTCCCAAGCAACCAAGTCAGAAGTACGGCCAGTGGGTGCCACGCTTTAGGATGGAAGGAAAGGGAACTGCAGAGCCACGCCCTAAGACAGATGAAAGATGGGGAAAGTCCTCACCTCTGGATAGCATCTTTCGTGGGACTTTTTCTTTGTTTTTGTCTTTATCTTCCTTTTCAGAGACATCTTTTGTAGACTTTTCTTCCTCCTTGTCAGAGGGGCAACTGATGTGCAATTGAATTATATCCTTAAATAAGGGGAAAGAGGATAATCAAAGGGAAAAAAGGATTCTAACTATCTTTAAGCTCCCTTAGACTCTTTAAGAAGGTAAATCTTGAGGTTGCAGCTCCCTTTCATAAGACTGTATTTTGTTAATTAATAAGTTGTTTCAGTTTTGTTCCATCAAGCGGGTTGCCAACATTACAACCTACTATATGAAGAGCTCAAATTATACTGGCTGTTTTTGGCAAAAGGAACTGGATGGAAATAGTTCTAACTACAGGAGGGGAGAAGCGTGGGTGAGAAAACAAGGTCCAGCCCCGGATGTCCTTGTCTGCATCATCCTGAGTGGTCAAGATATGAAGAACTACACTTTACGCTCTCAACAAGCCCTGCTTTACTGCAATAGCTTCTGTTTCAAAGTGGCTTCTATTCTGATTTCCAAGCCTGATCTTGGTGATGTTATTGCTGTACCGCACACTACCAGATGACGGCCAAGCTCAAAAGCTACTTTAGACCTGTAAATGACCTACCTGGGTTTCTAGTGGCCCATCAGCAAATGGGGTGGAGGACTCTTCACATACTGCCAGGCTGCGCACCAACTTCAGCTTGGAATTAGACTGAAAAAAACCAAATACATATATATCTTCTCTTCAGAAGTTTTTTGGCTGAATGAAGAGCATCCTCTTTGGCTCTGTTAGTTGTTTTTTTCCATTAAATGGGTTTTTTTCTAAATAGGTCCTACTTAGCAATTTCTGATTTAGTTGAAAGAAAATTTTCTTGCTTACAACAGTAAACATGTACAAATAAAATGATTACTTGGACAGATGGTAGGAAACTATTTCATTTAGTCCTCTTCTCTCTCAGTGAGATTGGAACCCAGGTTTCCAACTTTTTAGATTCAGAAGTTTACTGCAAATACACAGTAGCATATCTTAGCAGAAAGACACTGGGTTTGAAAGCCAGAAAAATCCAGCTTTCTAGGGCAGGGTCGGTTAAATAAATAAAGTAACCTAGTTAGGCATCTTCCCAAGATCCCTTTCTAAGGCATTAACCCTGCCTTAGAAAAGCCACAAAAAATTTGAAACCTAGCTTCAATTTCTGGTTTTGCACTTACAACTTGAGACTCAAAGCAAATTACTTGACCTTTCTGAGTCTGTTTTTCCTTAGTAAAACTGCCATAAATATACTTATTCTGCTGTTGTAAGAATCAGATAATCTATAGCATATAAACATACAATAGACAATAAATGCTAAGTTACTCTACACCCGAGGTGGCAAGGGTATGGAAAGGTATGGAAAGAAGTATCTAAGAAAAGAGTGATGAGAAAGATTTAAATAAAACCTTTATAACACTGGGATTTAATGCAATAAAAAGCTAATCTACCTGGTTTACCTCTGCTAGCTGGTGAATCCCCAAAAGATTTGAAATCCACTATGCAAATCACTATTCTCTTAGGGATCCTCAAAGCTAAAAATTCTAAAGTGACTCACTAGAAATAATAATAAAATAAATATTTGCTGAAAATTCCTACAAAAAATTCCAAGGTTCACAATAAATACTAAAGCACAAAAACATGCCATATATGTTCCAGGTAGTGCAAAAAGAACTACTAAGTCTGAAGAGATGATGCCTACTTCTGCCACTTGCTACTCAATGTCCTTTGTTGAGTCACTCAATCTCTATAGCCCAAATTTCCTCATCTATAGTATGCAGATAATAACTGTCTTATTTACCTCAAAAAACTTGGGAGGAATTAAAGTAGCAGTGAGTACCTTCTCTTTTGAACTTTAACATCAAATCGACCACTACTGATGAGTCCGTGTAAGGCAAGACACAGGACAAATTTATTATACTTTTTGGTCTTCCTCAAATCCAAGCCATATACTGGGTTTGATGTTAAATCAAATTCCCAAATTTAATCATTATTTTTCTGGGGAAAAGGGTTGGCCACTCTTAATTATTACTTCTGATGACAAATCTTCCAAATGTAAGAAAAATTTAATGTTTCACTGCTCCCCAGCTAAATTAAAAGGCTATCACAACCTAATACATATAGTCTTTTCTGACAACTCTGCTAAAAACAATCTGTCATATGCTAATTTTATCATACAATGATTAAAAAAAAACCCTCCTTCCTGCCCTTAAAAAGTGAAACATTTAAAAAAGATTATATTTTTAGAATATTCAAAAATGTAGAGTTATTTCTACTAATGAGACAGGATTTATTTTAAAGGAAAATTCACAAGGAGGGAAAGAAAGAAACATGAAGAGGAATAATAAAAAGGCTCATAAAAGCAGCCAGTCTCCTAGAGAAGCCAGGGGAGAGCAGAGAAACTGGTATTTTAGCAAGACCAGTACCAAATTCTCTCAGGCTCTGTGGAAGCCTCCAGTTTGGTTTCCTTCCAGGCATCAAAAATAGACTGTGACTGAGCTATAGGTAATGGAGTAAAATAAAGTTAGATCTTTTATTAGGAAATGTGTGCGTGCGCATGCATGTGCATACCTGCAAGTTCATACTTAGGGTATACAGTACAGGCAAGAAAACTCTGCTCACATAATCCAAATAAACTAGATATTAGTAAGTCCATCTGTGAAATGTCTTACTTTGAAAAGAAACTATAGAGGAAAAAGGGCTCTCACCTTGGCTCTTTTCCTGGCATGACCATGGTTAGATGTCCGCCTCTGTTAGAAGAGGATTGGAAAATATTAAAGGTAGAGATAATTGATACTTAAGTTAAAAGCAATATATGTTTACAAAGAAAAAGCACTAACTACAAAACCATTACAGCAATAGCTGAACTATGATGAGAACCACCAGCAACTGTGACATAGAAGGAACCACAGGTCACCTATAGTCAAATCATCATCACCATGAATATAAAAAGTTGGAATTCACTGATTTGTTGGCCTATTTCACAAACTGATAAAAATTACTTTTGGACAAACCATGGAAACATCTCCTGATTAGGGTGCTTTGGGAAATATCACGATCATAGCATAAGAGAGTATTTCTCTCCCAACCTTACCCACAGGAGACTTTTTAATCCATAATGGATGTGAAATATGGCCCAACCATCGCTTATATTAACATCTTTGTAGGACAACACATTCAGAGTTCTAACTTGGGATACCCAAAACACCTGTCCCTACAGCTGTAGAAATGAAATGAAGAGTCTTATTCTCAAATGTCTCCCTTCCTGAGTATGAGAATTCTCCCCATTCTAAGATTCCAGTGGTGACTCTTACAGCCTGTCTGGGTCAGAGATGTAAGATGGGACAGGACAAAAAGAAGAGAGTATGGAAGATAAGGATAAGACTTCCAGAGTAAGGGCAGAGAGACTGGATAAGGAACAGGGTGGAAGCTGAGGAAGATAAAGGATGAGGCCCTGAAGTAGAATGAGGGAAGACTAATTAATCAATAAGATTTCTAAACAGCTAAGAAGTCAAAATGGGGACTTTCGGGAAGAGGCTGAGTAGGGTTACACACGTATATGGGGATGAGGCACTTAGGGGCTCTGAGATGTTTGGAATGAAACTCACTGCCAGTGGTGTGTAGAGAAAACTGAGGCAGGAGGGTGGGAGAGGGAAAACGAGTCAGAGGTAGAATACCCGCATGGTCTTGGGTAGGTGAGGATTTCTTTTTCCTTGGTCCTCTTCACTAGTTAGCAAACAACACTGCCACAGTGCAAAATCGAGAACTGGGAAGGTGGATGGAGAGAATAAGAAATGAGGATGGATCTGGTCAGTGGCAAGATCTGTCACAGCAAGGGGAGATGCATGGTCCAGAAATTTGAAGCAGTATTTGTCACTACTTTTTCAAACATGAAATAACAAACACATGGCACAAACATTTTAAGGGCATTAAGGGCATATATGGAACAGTAACTCTCCTCTTATAACTGTCCCCCAGATACCTGGTTCTCTCCTAAATGGTCTGCCAGTACTGAATTTCTTTTAGATCTATCCAGCGACATTTCATGCATATATATAATGCTTATTTTTCCTGTCTGTACATAGGTTTTTTTTAAAAAAAAAAAAAACAAGTATATTATACATACTACTCTAAACCTTGCTTTTAAACTTTTTTTTCATTTATTAATCCATAGAAGCTCTACCCTTTTTTTTGAGTATTTTTTAAATTTTTTCAAATTAATATGAGGGTACAATTTTTAGGTTACATTGTTCCCACTTCCAGGATACCCTGTTTTTCTTAACATCTACACAGTATTTCATTGCATGGCTATTCCATAACTTATTTTACCAATCCCTAATATTGTACCCTTTACGGCATTTCTGACCTTCTGCTAGTATAAATAATGACCATATCATTGTGCATAAGTAAATACAGTATATCTGTAGTCCATTTAAAATTTTTTATTTATTTTTATTTTTATGTATATTTTTTGAGACAAGAGTCTCATTTTGTCACCTTCAGTAGAGTACTGTGGCTTCATAGCTCACAGCAACCTCAAACTCTTGGGCTCAAGCTATTCTCTTGCCTCAGCCTCCCAAGTAGCTGGGACTACAGGTGCCTGCCACAACACCTGGCTATTTTTACAGACGGCTATTTTTACAACGCCTGACTATTTTACCATCCTTGCTCTGGCTCAGGATGGTCTTGAACCTGTTAGCTCAGGCCAATCTACCCACCTCAGCCTCTCAAGAGTGCTAGGATTACAGGTATGAGCCACCGAGCCCAGCCTCATTTAAAAAATTTTATAAAGTATCACTAAATTATCCTCTAAAGTGGTTAAAGGAATTTACACTCTCATCGATAATATATGAATTTGCTTATTTCTCAGAAAAACAGTTTTCATTTAAGAGTCAAACACATATTTAAAGCCTAATATGTACCAGGTATCATGCTAGCTACTGGAGGATACAGAGATAAAAGGCACAAACCTTGTCAAAAAGGAATTCATAATCCTGTTGGAAAAGACAGACAAATAAGACAGTTATAATACAGTACATTAAGTGTGTTATAGAGGTAGTCATGGAGTGCTACAAGAGTACACAGCAAAGCATCTAACTCAGACCTAGCAATACATAAATTCACAGTCCCAGACATGGAGTGCCTCCTATGTGCAAGGCACTGTATTAGGCAATGGGGATAAAATGGTGAGTCTTAAACTGACCTAATCCTGGGTATCACAGAACTTATAGTTATGTGAGGAAGATGGACATCAAACAAATAATTATACTACAGAGACCTTCAATAGTGGAGTAAGGTGGTCAAGGAAGGCTTCCTGGAGAAAAACACACCTGGATTGAGTTTTGAAGAATACATAGTATTACATAGGTATTAGACAGATGTTGGGGGTGGAGGAGAACAAGGAAAGAATACTAAGGAGGGCATTCTAGGCAGAGAAAGCATGTATAGAAGCATGCTTTCTCCCAACTTTCAACTCCCATTTATAACAGGGATCAAGGAATCAGATAATGCTGAATCACTAGATGCCAGAGGTGAGAGCTGACAAGCAAGGGACTAGGTTATAATATGCCATGCTGAGAAATCTGAGTGGCCTAGGGCAGTAAGATACACAGAAAGCTTGAAGAGAATCAACACAATCAGTTATTTTGTAACCATCTTTCTAAAGCAGTTTCCATGCAAAAGATGTTGTGGGTTTCAGTGTTTCCAAGAACTTACACCACATACTTATGAGTAATGAAAGTCTCTTTTCCCAAAAATTTTTTCGCTCCAATTCATAACAGGGACTCCCTTGACAGTACCACTTAGATTCTCAAGGAGAATTCTGGGCTACTGCGTGGCAAATACGTAAGAAAAGCAGAATTTTCAGTGTTATTGAAGGAGCATATGATATGTTGGGAATGGTAAAGAGGGGAGGGGTTTAAGGGACTGCTCCATAGGACCTAGGGCAGCTGACAATATTGAAGACTTTGCAAAGGAGCAGGAACCCCAGCAGATGGCAGCAGCAGCCCCTGCCTGCTCTGCATCAGCATCAGGATCAAGTCAGAGGGGAGACAGGTCCCTTCAGCTCCCTATATATACAACCTATTTGTAAATCCAGATGAAGACACTTAAAACCAAGTGACTGCCCATAAGGAGCATAAACTTAAACATGTCTTTTCTTTTCTGACCATCTTCAAGTACACAAAACAGGAATTCAGAACACCATTTATAACAGTCTCCTGAGAGTAGAATAACTTGGACGCCAAGTCATTTAATTATTATCTTTCATGTAACATGAGAATATATAATGAAACACTGATCACTTATCTGTCTTGAGGATTTAAAATTCATTATTGGTATCAGTGGAGGCTGGAAGTACAGTTTGATCAGCGGCATACTGGCAAACTCTAGAAGGATGGGCAGGGAATGACAACTCACATGTAAAAGATAATGGAAAGGAAAGCATGGCAGAGATCTGGCAAACTGTAAGAGGAAAGACAGTAGAAAAGCAGGCAGCTAGAGAACAAAATATTTCAGACAGTCATCAATTTTAATTCATCCCTTTACACTGTGGCTGTTTTAATCTTTAAAGACAAGCCTTAGGTGAATTGAGTTGTCTAGAAAAATTATGCTCCATTTTTCAGATCCTCCAAATTGTTGCTGCTCCTGCTTTTTATCTAACTTCTTGCTAGCATTAATGGTCTATCTCCTATCTTATAATAAAGACCAATCTCACCCTTGGACATGAAGAGAAGGATTTATATAAGAAGAAATCAGCAGTGACCACAGAAGAAAAGAAAGACTGTAACAGGTAGGCTAGAGGATACTCAAAGTCTAGGTGGGCTGGACAAGCATCAAAATGGTGGAAGAGGCTTGGCTAACCTTTACTCACATCTTTTCTGTACTGCAGTATAAATTTGGATGGAAAATAACATGGCAACCAAGAGTGAAATTCCTCTCATTCACATTTACCAAGTGGCAAGTCCAGAGACTATTTCTAACCCAGAAAATGCTGACTGCTTAACACAACCAGGATATGAATTTAACACTTGTGTATAAAGCCAGGCAGCACTAGTTTTAAGTTTACTGTATGAATCAATTTGACTTATTAAATATTTGTTTGTATACAGTTTATTTTTTGATACTTAAATATCAAAATACATCAAATGTTTCAAGAACCAATGAACTTAGGTCCAAATGGGTAAGTGATTTCACTCTGTCCTCTTAGATTTCATTGTGGACGCTATGACAAAAGGGTCAGATGTTTATTAAAGCTTAAGTTAGGGTTTTGAGGTTTTTTGGGTTGCCATTATTATTTTTATGTAGGGTCTTACTTTGTCACCTAAGCTGGAGTACAATGGCACAATCATAGCTTACTATATACCTTCAACTCCTAGGCTCAAGCGATCCTCCTGCCTCAGCCTCCTGAGTAGCTAGAACTACAGGTATATAGCACCATGACTGGATGATTTTTTAAATTTTTTGTGAAAATGGGATCTTGCTGTGTTGCTCAGGATCCTGGCCTCAAGCATTCCTCCCACCTCAGCCTCTCAAACTGCCTTGATCACAGGCATGAGCGACAATACCTGGTTAACAGCTGAAGTTGGAGTTTTGAAGGAGAATCAAGTGTTTGTACAAATGACTGGGTTCCTATAGATTCCCATTTCTCTGCAGGTATGAAGAGTACGCACATGATGCACTTCTAATTCTCACCTGTGTCTCCTGACGCAAACTGGTATCTTCACTTTCTTTTTCAATTTCTTCCTTACTTGGAGTCTTAGCTATAAACTTGTTTTTGTTTACAGATTCTTCCACGAGTTTTTTTTCTGATTCTTTCATTATTTCCAGGGTCTCTTGAGTAGTGTTACTGTTAGACATGTTCTTCAACACTATACAGTAGCCTCTATGGACTCCTACAAAAACATCAAATGCATTAAACATGAGACGTGTATACTTAACACATAAAGACTTGTATTTTACATAGGCACATTTTTTCCAGCAGCCTCCCTGTAACCCCCAAGAAAGTCCTTTAATAAATGCTACCCCTAGATTCATTTTTTAAAGCTTTATTGAGGTAAAACTGACATACTATAAATTGCATATATTTAAAATGTACAATTTGATGAATCATGACACATGCACACACCTATGAAACTATCACTATAATTGAGACAGTTGGGCACATTCATCACCCCCAAAGGTTTCCTTGTGTCCCTTTATAATCTCTTCTTTCCCTCCCAATCACCTCCAGTCAGCCATTGATCTGCTTTCTGCTAGTCTGCATTTTCTAGAATTTTATATAAATGAAGTCATACACTAGTCTAGACTCTTTTACTCAGCATAATTATTTTGAGATTCCCTAGGATTCAGTTCTAAAGCAATTTATTCCTCTTGGTACTTTATTTGCCTTCTCTTCCTCCCTATAAAAATTTGCTTGTATTTTCAGCTCAATCACTTAATTTGTTAAATTCTCTCCAGAAAAAAATAATGTATTTTAAAGCTCTATTCACCACTATAGAGGAATACTCTCTTTCACAAAGGAGAACTTCCACAGATACCACAAACTATGACATTGTTACTAACTTCAAGCTATCCAAAAGAAGCAAAATCAGGGTTGGCACCTGTAGCTCCATGGCCAGAGCACCGGCCACATACACCAGAGCTGGTAGGTTTAAATCCAGTCCGGGCCTGCCAAACAACAATGACAACTGCAGCCAAATAATACCCGGGCGTTGTGGGGGGTGCCTGTGGTCCCAGCTGCTTGGGAGGCTGAGGCAAGAGAATCACTTGGGCCCAAGAGTTTGAGGTTGCTGTGAGCTGTGATGCCATAGCACTCTACTGAGGGCAACACAGTGAGACTCAAAAAAAAAAAAGCAAAATCAGACAATGGTTATAAACTCTTAAATGCTTTTCTTTATCTTAAGGAAGCTGAAAAAGCAAGAAGAAAACTTGCTTGTAGTCATTTATCCTTCAGAAAGATTGGGTTTATCCTTGGAATAAAGGATGGAATTTTCAGTTTGATATCTGGGTTTAGTCGGTTTACTGCCACCCAATGATACAGAGTATCTACAGTGCAGGAAAGGCTGGCTCTTACTATCACTACCTGGGAAATCTTGTAATGAAGCCAACACAGTCTCTGAGTGTACACTAACAGGTGTTGATACTCTAAAAAGATTCATATCCTCAGACTGCCAAAGTCAAGCATGGCAGTTAGCTTAGTTCTAACAGTGGTCTGTAGAAGTTGCTCCATACATGGATTACTCACTACACTTCAATCCTAAAAACATCTTTCCTTCCCTTAAAAAAGATGGCTGTTTCTCTGTCAATATATGAAAAACTTAAAAATAATAAATAAACAGATAATAATGGCTAGGCAGGGCATGGTGATGCACACCTGTAGTCCCAGGTACTTAGGAGGCCGAGGCAGGAGGATCACTTGAGTCCAGGAGCTTGAGGCTGCTATGAGCTATGATGACAACAATGCATTCTAACATAGGTGACAAGAGTGAAACCCTCAAAAAAGAAAAATAAGAAAAATAAGACTGGAAATCTTCCCAGATTTTACATCTATTCCCAGTATAACCCGAGAAAATATACAAATGGTTACCAACGTTTCAAGAAAATTGTCACAACAGAAAATTTTTCTCTGTTTCAAATAAGGTTAAAGAGTAAGACCCAGAAGGTTTTCAAATAGCACAGTAGCCTCACCCTGACATAAGTTGAACAGTCTGCAGGAATATTGCTTTTTCACCTTGCAGTAGCTCCTGAACAGCTGACTGGAGACATAGTTTTCTTAGGGCCAGAGAGTCACTCACACAATGATGAAGTCACACAGTTGAACTTATAGATGAGAAACAGTGGAAGAAACTGACCACAAAAGGAAATGTTTAATATTCTTTTTTTTTTTAAGAGAAAGGTCATGTTTCGTCACTCAGACTGGAGTGCAATAGCACAATCATAACTCACTGCAGCCTCAAACCCTTGAACTCAAGCGATAGTCCTACCTCAGCCTCCCCCACCATACTTGGCTAACTTTTTTTTTTTTTTGAGAGACAGTTTTACTTTGTCACCCTCAGTAGAGTGCCGTGGCATCATGGCTCATAGGAACCTCAAACTCCTAGGCTCAGGTGATCCTCTTGCCTCAGCCTCCCTGGCTGAGAGGACTACAGGCACCTGCCACAATGCCCAGCTATTTTTTAGAGATGGGGTCTCACTCTTGCTCAGACTGGTCTCAAACTCATGAGCTCAAGCAATCCACCTGCCTGCCTCTGCCTCCACCTCCCAGAGTGATAGGATTATAGGCGCGAGCCACTGCGCCCAGCTTTCTTGGCTAATTTTTTATTTTGTACAGACAGAGTCTTGTTACATTGCCCAGGCTGCTCTCAAATTCCTGGTCTCAAGCAATCCTCCTATCTCAGCTTCCCAAAGTGTTGGGATTCCAGGTATGAACTACTTGCCTGGGCTGGTACTTGCTTTTTTTTTTTTTTTTTTTTGAGACAGAGCCTCAAGCTGTCCCCCTGGGCAGAGTGCCGTGGCATTACAGCTCACAGCAACCTCCAACTCCTGGGCTCAAGCGAGTCTCCTGCCTCCGCCTCCCAAGTAGCTGGGACCACAGGCGCCCGCCACAACGCCCAGCTATTTTTTGGTTGCAGCCGTCATTGTTGTTTGGCGGGTCCGGGCTGGGGATTCGAACCCGCCACCTTAGGTGTACGTGGCTGGCGCCTTAGCCGGTTGAGCTATAGGCGCCGAGCCGAGCCGCTTTCTTAATCTTTATACAATACTGCATCTAAGTAAGGGGTCAGATGGTTAAATATCAGAAAAGAAAATGAAAAGTCTACCAAAAATCTAAAGAAATCATGACATCTCATATTTGGGAAGGTACTTAGAAGCCTTCTCTTTCAGCTCTATCCTTCTACTTCCATATCCCTAATTATGTTGTTGAATTACTAATAACTGAAAAATGGTTGTACCATCCCTGCTTATACTCTACTGAAGGGGAATATTCACTTCCATATACAATCATTTTTTCTGAAAACACTTTCCTTATACAAAGGCAAAATTCATCTCCCTGGTACTTACTCCTCTTGGTTCCAGTATAGCCTTCTGTGTAAGTCACAAAGAATAAACTTAATCTCACTTCCATGTCAGCCCTTTATAAAAGACTTTATCTTGTTTCCTTCTCTAAACATTCCCAGCATTAAGTCTAGTATCAAATCACATGGTTTTAAGTCTCCTCACCATTTTACTTCTGAAATAAAAGAAGCTGCCCTGAGGCAAAGAGAGGCTAGTAACAGCTCGGCGCCTGTGGCTCAAGTGGCTAAGGTGCCAGCCACATACACCCAAGGTGGCGGGTTCGAATCCAGCCCGGACCCGCCAAACAACAATGACGGCTGCAACCAAAAAACAGCCGGGCATTGTGGTGGGCGCCTGTGGTCCTAGCTACTTGGGAGGTGGAGGCAGGAGACTCGCTTGAGCCCAGGAGTTGGAGGTTGCTGTGAGCTGTGAAGCCACTGTACTCTACCCAGGGGGATAGCTTGAGGCTCTATCTCAAAAAAAAAAAAAAAAAAAGAAAGAAAAAAGAGAGGCTAGTAACGAGGGTCAGACTTACTATTCTAAAGTCAAGATCCACAGGAAGATATACTAAACATCAAACTGTGTCTTACACTGAGGTTCTCTTTTGCTCTCTAAAATAACCATTAATCAAAGTTATTTCTAGGCCAGTAATTTAATGTAAAATGGCTCTTCTTACTCTTGGGGCATAAGGATTCCTAGAAAGAAATTTTCCTGGACCAAAAGAAAAGTAAAAGTTATAGCTGAAAAACAATTTTTAATAACTAAAGAAAGCTCTCCAGAGCGAAAATAAAGACAGTAGAAGGTTAAAAAGCAGAGAGGTAATTTCCACTCTTGATAGTGTATTTGGTATACAGAGGAAATTAAAGGCTTTGGG